AAACTATTCATGGACCGACTTGATGACGAGAAAAGATCGTTCAACCCCGCGCAAGTTGCCGGTCTTGAGCAGCGTTTAGCCCTCTTGAATTCGTTCATGGTGTCCAATGGTCCACAGCCAGCCGCTTTTGGTTCAAAGACGTACGCCAATATCAGTGGACCAAGGTCAAATGTTCTTGCTCCCAAATCGACCCCGCGTCGTTTCGCTGCAGGACAATTGACCATTGTTGATCTATCGGATCCATTCATTGACACAGGCTCTGCGTGCGGTTTGTTCGAGATCGTCACGAGGCTATTCGTGAGGGCTGAGGTTGAAACTGGAAAGGTTCTTGTTGTCGATGAAGCCCACAAGGTATTCCGCTCGATATCTCTTTAAAGTTGTGCCGTTCTAACGTACTATAGTACTTGTTCACAAACAGAGGTGTTTCAGGGCTAACCAAGGCCATTTTGACCCTCACGAGAGAGCAGAGACATTTAGGGATGCGTGTCATCATTTCTACTCAAGGTAACTCCAGCTCTCGGTCGGACAAGGCGGTGCTTATACAAAAACACAGAGCCAACTGTGGTACCACCTGTCTTGTTAGACTTGTGTACTGTCGCTATTATGCATCGGTTTTCTTCTCCGGCGTGGTGGGACCATCTCGCACGGCACATCTCTGCTGACGTGTCTGTAGATGCAGCATTTGACACGGTTGTCAAGCTCCAGGTACGTCAGATGTTTAAACAGAAGGCTTTGCTAATATATTGCAAACGTCCAGACTGGTGAGGCGATTGTTCTTGCGCCATCGGGGCTTGGTGTGTTCCCCCAGGATGAAGAGATTCCCAGCCCCGAAGGTGATACCCCAGCTGTCTTGAAGATGAGCCAATTTGGAAGACGTTACATTATCATGAAGACACGTGCTCGTGTCACGAAAGACGGAGGGACTTCGGTTCTTGTTGTTCCTCGTCAAGAAGAAAGCGAGGACTCCGAGGAGTCAGAGAGCGAAGAGGAAGCATCTGAACGCGAGGAATCTGAGGATGAGGAATCTGAATAAGTTAATCACATCTTACCTACTATTATTAATAACCACAATATTTGCTGATTCTCATGATACTCACTTCATTATAGTCTAGTTCATAAGAGGATTTTCGTTGCGAGATTGTTTACATCTATTTACTAAAGCCTTGTAAATTCAACAAGAACAAACCCTGAATACTGCGTCACTCGCCACCAAAGCGAATTTTCCTATCATTCATTGTCTAGTACTCCCTTTACATTATCTCTGTTTGCCTTTGTTCTTTATGTCATGGCCGCCAATGTCAGAGTGCGGCGTCCAGCTACTCCACCACCCGGTCTTCCACATGTCGCTCCTTCGTCTCATAAATATCCACCAATACGACAAGACCACTTGAGCGCAGATGAACGACGTGAAGCAGCTTCCAAGGGATATGGACCTGGGCGAAGAAGTCATTCACCAGGTGGTCTCAACATTACATCTGGGGAATGGAAACTGCTGGCGGTTGTCCTTCTAATTGCACTTGGCGTCAGGATGTTTCGAATATCGAAACCAGATAGTGTGGTGTGAGTGTACCAGATGTTCACTCTACTCATCTGACATATCCGTCAGTTTCGACGAGGTTCACTTTGGTAAATTTGCAGCGCGCTATATCAAAACGCGGTATTTCGTCGATGTGCACCCTCCACTTGCAAAGTTGTTGATCACTGCGGCAGCCTTCATATCTGGTTTCAACGGAGATTTTGACTTCAAGGAGATTGGGAAGTGAGTATGTCTCAAACGGCATCTTTCTATCGTTGAGCATCCATTGACTAGGGTATTCGAAAATGCACCATACGTGGCCATGCGAATGGTACCCGCTACGTTTGGAGTCGCAACTATCCCAATCGCATATCTCACTTTACGAGCTCTTGATTGTCGCGCAACCACTGCACTACTAGCATCAATATTTCTGACATTCGAGAACGGATTGGTCACACAATCTCGCCATATCCTACTGGATTCTCCCCTCGTATTTTTCACGGCCCTCACCGTCTTCTTTTTTGTCGGGTTTTCGAATGAGGACAAGAAAGAGCCATTTACCAACCAGTGGTGGACATGGCTCGCTTTGACTGGTCTGTCCCTGGGCGCTGTCGTATCCTGCAAATGGGTCGGTCTCTTCACAATTGCGACGGTTGGTGTGTGCACTATGTTGCAACTGTGGCTTCTCTTGGGCGATCTTCGTGTCAGTCCAAGGATGTGGGCGAGGCATTTCTTCGCGCGGGCTGTTTGTCTTATTTTGATACCCGTCCTTTTCTACATGACCATGTTCCAGCTGCATTTCATTATTCTTGGAAGCTCAGGAGAGGGTGACGCGTTTATGAGCTCGGAATTCAGGCAGACACTGGGGCTGGGGATGGAGGACACGTATGCAGGTCCGTATATTGCGGCCATGCACATGGATGTGCTCATTTCATATTATCATAGATGTTGCCCTTGGTTCGGATATCACAATCCGACATCTGAACACACAAGGCGGTTATCTGCACTCTCATTCTCACAACTATCCTGGAGGAAGTGGACGTACGTATGACTCCCGTTTTATCTCATCTCTCATTAAATAGCTGGACAGAGCAACAAGTCACACTCTACCCGCATAGGGATGATAATAATCTCTGGCGAGTACTTAACGCAACAGTCAATAATTATGAACAGTATGACTACGAACACAAGCCTATCGTGTATATTGACCACGGCTCCCACATCAAGCTAAGGCATCTCGTGACCGACAGGGGGCTCCATTCACACGAAGTCCGCCCGCCTGTCTCGGATGTTGACTTCCAGAACGAGGTTTCAGCGTACGGCATGCCTGGCTTTATCGGCGACATCAACGATGATTGGGTTGTTGAGATTGAAAAGGGCGACAGTAGTGATAAGGAGTCGAGCAAGCGCTTGAGGACGTTAAGAACGCATTTCAAGCTCAGGCACTTGAATACAGGCTGCTACCTCTTCTCGCACAAAGTGAAACTCCCTGAGTGGGGCTTCGATCAGCAGGAGGTCACATGCAACAAGAACGCTGTCAAGGAAAACTCGCTATGGTACGTCGAGACTGCTACAAAGCATCCACAATGTAAGGTCTCTGTATCTTGTAATCGGGCGTATTCTCAGAACCACCTTTTCATAGTATCGGCTGATGCTCCAAAGGTCAATTACAAGATTCCCGGATTCTTGTCCAAATTCTGGGAGTTGCAGCAGGTCATGTGGACAACGAATGCTGGATTGACCGACCGTCACATGTATGACTCTCGACCTTTGACCTGGCCTCGTCTTCGCCGTGGTATTGTGAGTTGTACGATTGCACTTGTGATTCATATCTGATTAGTTGTATACCAGAATTTCTGGGTCAAGGATCATCGCCAGATCTACCTAATCGGTAATCCATTTGTTTGGTGGTCAAGCACGGCTTCAGTCATTACATACATGATCGTCAGAGGCTTCCTCCTACTTCGCGCGAAGAGAGGATACCGTGATTTTGACAACAGTGAGGATTAGTGCACTTCGGTCTCGTGTCATTCTGATCCGGGGAATCTGTTTTAGCCAAGGTTGTCAAGTATGATTCCCTCTGCGGTTTTCTCTTCGTCGGGTACTGCATGCATTACTTCCCCTTCTTCCTCATGGGCCGTCAGCTCTTCCTTCACCACTACTTTCCTGCACTGTACTTTGCAATCCTGCTTAATTGCGCTGTTTTCGACCTCGCCACATCGACTCTACGACCAAAGATTCGATTACAGATTGCTGCCGTCCTCATGATCATAGCGATCATTACGTACTCAAAGTTTAGTTCCTTGGCGTATGGCAATCCTTGGACAAAACAGAAGTGCTCCAACGCACAATGGGTGAAGACGTGGGACTTTGCCTGGTGAGTCTTGGATGTTGCATCAGGAGTTTGGGTTTTGATGAGCATTTGTTAGTAATGAGTTTTTCGACGATGTGAGTTTTATGTAATTCAAGGAGCACTTTAGCTAAACGCCGAACAGTACTCTCAGTATTCAGGTGTCACTGTTCCTACTCTGAACCGGTCCACACCGATGGCAACCATTGGCGGTGAGCCCGGCGGGCGCGCGGCTATTGTGGTCGAGGACAAGCTCGGGCAAGATGGGGTCGTGCCGCCTGAAGACGAGCAGAGCACCGCCGTCCCTATTGGTGTGCCGGAGCCCGGGCGGGATGTATTTGCGAAGGACGAACAGAAGGAAATCAAGAGCCAGATGAGGATATCACAAGATGTGCCGGTTAATAATGTGGATGAGAAGGAGATTAGCGCGGCGACATTTGAACCGACCGGTGCAGCACCCGAAGAGAAAAAAGAAGAGGTCAAGTTGCAAGCGGGCGGCATGAGTGCTACCGGTGGGTCAGAGGGTCAGGCGCGTCCTGAAGTCATCGGCATCCTGGAAAAAGAGATCGAGGTGGAGCTGGGTGAGAATGTTGAGGATCATCGGAAATCTCACGGGCCTCTTGACCATGAGGAGGCCATTGCAGATCAAGTGGCGCATGAGTTGTATCCTGAGGCCAGGGACGTTGAGTAAATTATTTAATTTGTTGCTATAGATGTGTTGAGTGGTGTTTCCTGAGCAGACCTGATCATATACGAACTAGTACTAGCACATGACATTATGCCTATCCCCCATTCATTGATGGTACTGTATACATGTCACAAGGCGAGCTTCAAGTGGCGGCCGGGCGTCTTCAAGGGAATCTGAGAGCGACTATTGGGAGATCGATGTATGTCTTTTTGGCGCCTACCTGGTTCATCATGATTATACGGGCAGGATCAAATCTATCGTGGCTGATTATGATCTATCATATGCTTGTGCATCCCCTCTGTGAAGGCCATGCTAATTTGCCGGTCAACCAGACGCCATACCCTCATTCGCAAAACCCTAGTTTCGGTGTGGTGCGGCAGTGATGCGGCAAAGGGTCGAGCCCCTCACGTCCATAAAAAGCACCTCAGGATTTCAAACTCAATCCTACTGTCTCCAGAGTCCACAAAGTATGGCCGCTGTTCAGGTTCCTCCTCAAAATATCTTCAGACACCATCGTCCTGACTATGAAAGCCCAAGCAAGGGTGAAGCGAATGGTCTTCTGAACGACCGTGAAGAAGATTTCCATTGCCCTTCGGCTATTGCCAATAGCACGACTCATCATACGCGTCGTACTGTCACCTCACCACCCACACGCCGTGCAAGATCACTATCATTATCTGACACTGGTCCCTATGACTCATCCCATGAAGACATAAATGCACCTGCAATTGCTCCTCCCATAGTCCGGAGTTTGTCTCGTTATGTGCATTCTGCGAAAGCACAACGCAAGCCCTACGAGAGGCGTGACCCCAGCACATTACAGCGCCGCTACGCTGCAAGCCAACTTTCCCCCGTTGATTCTAGAACTTTACCGGACATTCAGAAGGTACGTTAAGCGGTGCATGCCCGCAGCTTTTTTATAATCAAGCAGCATGCCAGGGCAAGGTTTTACTCGAAAGTCGATTGCAACACCTGTCTTCTGAAGAAATTTCGCAAGCCGTCATCACGAAACACGCCGATATTGAATGGAGGCGCATGCGTGCTCTGACAACAGCTTGGGAAATCCAAGCTATCGAAGAATACAAAAGATTTCTTTCGATGGTTCTTGAAGACGACGGTAGCACATATGCCAGTGCTGCATCAGAACCTTGGGACACCTCGCTCCAAGAGCTCGCTAAAGGGAATGTGGGTGAACTCGATGAGCGCCTCCACTTTTGCATGTCCACATACAACCCTGACATAACGTCACTCGCTGTTGGAGAAAAACAGCTTGATCTTGTCGACAGCATGGCTCATTCCCTCGTTAGCGATTGCGTCAATGGAGATCGCTTACCAGACTTCACGAGTTTGGATGACTCAGAAGATCAATGTGGCAGCGGGTGTGAATCCGAGTCCATAAACACTAGCAGAATGTCGCAAGATTCTGTCAAGTCTGGTGAAACACCTGATGTAATTATCGTATCGATCGCCGTTACTTATAATACTGATCTTGCATAACAGGCTGAGCAGTAAAGCACAGGTTGTACCATATTATGATGCCTTCTGATCGTCAATATACTTTTCATTGGACGTTTTCCTCGTAGATCTGTTTTTAAGTCGATCATTATTCACATCATGTGTTTGCCACTCTATCTCGCCTGGATGCTGACTCGGATATCTGTATGATCTATGGTATATGTCCCCCAGAAATGATAAGCCACCCTCGTTCTATTTTATGGTGATGCGAGAGTCTTCAATGCTTCCTGAATTTCCGCCTCCTCCTTCGCCCATGATGGAACAGGGATCCTGTACGTATCCCCGACCCGGGCATATGAAATATCGCCCACACGCGCGACAGGCTTGAACCTTGTGAGGTCGACGGCGCTTCTGCTTGTAAGCATGTCTTTGCGCACATGGAAGTACTTGACGTGCGCGAGGATGAGCGTGCTGTTGTGCTCGCCTGTGACTGGGTGAGTGATATCGATCGATTTGTACAGCTATTGAGAGGCGACGATGTCAGCGGGCGAACGGGCTAGGCGTGAAATGAAATTACCTCGCATTCCATGCTAAAAGCGCTTTCCTTGACGCGCGAGGCTCTTATTTGCACCTGAACGCGTCGCTGTTAGCGCATATATCGAATGATGAAGGTGCACGCGTACGCATTTCTCCTTTGTCAGACCGCTGAGAGCCCACTCGTCGAACTCGGGAGGAGCGTCTACAGCAGTTGCATTTGCATTCTCGACGAATGCCTCGCTGATGACGTTCACAGAGAATCCTTGGCCGTTCTTCAGGTTCGTGGTAGTGTCTTTGAGGCTGCCTGTAGCATTGTGGTTGATCGCGAATGAGATGACAGGCGGGTAGTTCGTGACCTATGGGAAGATGTTATTACACCATTAGAGGGATGCATTGTTTGTCGCATTGCTCACTGTGTTGAACCAACTGGTGGATGCGAGTCAGGTAAGCATGCAGAATGTGTCAGATTATGGAGGCGTGTCTTACCTGAAGGGTGCCAAGTTCTCTACCCCATCCTCGCTGATCGTGGATATGAGTGACATGGGGCGCGGTAAAACGCCTGAATTCAAGAGCTTGTTGAGATTGCTGTCGATCACGGTCACGACCGCGGCTGATAAACATGTGCAGGAGTACGTACGTCTTGTCCATTTCTGCTGTGCTGTAGACGTTCCAGCCTGCAGATTCGCCTGCAAGCCAGTCTTTTCCGGCAGGAGTGGCATCGACTCTCTGGCCATATGTCCAGGACGGATTGGGTGATTGGGTGGTGGTGGAGTAGGAGGTGGTATCGAATGGAGGGATGTACATTGTTGGTGGATTAGCTGGATGAAGACAGCAAGACTGACCCTGTTTTTATAGTTACATGGTCGCAAATATCGAGGCCAGTCTTCATGCGTATGAGGTCGAAGCGCTGATAACGGATGATGCTGACTGCTTGGCTTACAATACTATCTCATAAGGACGCAAGTTGGGGATCGGACGACTCGGCGCTCGTGGATGATAGATGAACGCATAGAACCGTGTCGAGTCCGTGATCGCATTACAGACTCAGTGCTAGATATATGTCAGAACTTACAAATGGATCAGGTGCTTCTACTAATAAGAGGTGATAGACCGGTCCACACCAGGGTTAGAAGCAGTCAAACAATGACATAAGGGCAGGCATTATTATCTATAGCGTTGAACAAGTCAGTTTCTATATAAGGAACAAGGACCATGGTACCCGACACGTTCACGTTCAAGTGAACTTCGTCGACTGTCGCTGACTTTCACACCCTTTAGGTTCACTGAACGGACACCACGGTCAGTGACTGGCAGAACACTGGGTGTGGGACTAGCCTGGGATGGTTTGGTGTGAAGTCGGTGCCCAATTATGGGACTTTGGGAGTCTGCCTAGGAAACAAGGGGGACGGTGGGGCGGCCTGGGACCAGATTGCAGAACCACGGTCTCCGGGAATCGCATACTTGTTGATCCCGAAGTGAACGTACATCTGCAAAACCACTGAAATGAACGCTTAACTTACGCGCGTTACGGACACTTACGAACGCTTACGACTTCAGTAGCGCACTCATGCGATTGGTGGAGATGCTGAACACCAATATAACGCACTAGCATCTGGCTGATAAAACTCAAGCCTGATTATCTTTCGGTGATAAGATGCGATAGCAATAGTCAATACAATTGATCATGCTAATCTAGCCACGGTCTACGCAAATTCAGTACTAAATGTATGGTAGCTCTCTTTGTCCGCAAAGTTGTTCAAAAAGAAACGCTCGTGGCGTTCCAAACAAGTGGCCGACGAAATATCACTGGCCACTTTCTCGCCGAAACATGGTATGAGTTCAATAGCGTGTGTTACGTCTGTAATTTGCACCACAGCGCCCTGCCTATAACGATTACCAGTATTATCTTGAACGTACGAACGCTCCACGGTCCACATTGAAAGTTCGGGTTGTTCGTCAGGAGAGGCGATAAAGTGGAAGTATTGGACGTAAAGAAGCGGAGTAGAAAGGTATGTTGGAAGGTCTAAGTTGGATCCTCGTCGAATTATTGGCTGGAAAACCAGTCGGACCTGTGCGACGCGACTGCCTGGAAGAAGTGATAAAATCAGTACTAAAAACCAGTACAAAAACATACATACTCGTTTGGCCATCATCTCTCATGGTTTCAATGAGAACTGTATCACAGTTGCCGAAGGGGAAATCCTCACTAGGTGGGTAAGCTTGTATCACTCTGCTTGGCATTATGATTCGTGGCTGGAATGCTGAGCGAAGCTGTAGTCGGAATTTGTTCCACGTAGAGAGGCGCCCATATTTGCCGTCCCAGAGGCTATGCTCGCCCATGGACTGGGATGAACGATGCATGAAATCGGTGAGCATGATATCAAAGTCAGGGAGCGAGTATTTTGTGCGAATCTCAACTGGGGACAGAGATTTGTAATCCGGTGTTACATTCAGTTGAAAGGCGGTGAGTGCATCTCCAGAGAGAATGCCTTTGAGGAAGTGGTTGCGGACAGGTCGAGGACCATGGACGGACTTCGCTTCGTCAGGGAGAACTCGGGAAACCCAGGAGAGCGCAGGGTTGGTGGTTATGACATCTTCATCCTCGGCGTGTATAGCATTGACTAGTGATGCGCCGCGAGAATGCAACAGCGCAAACAGGTCAAAGATCTCCATCGCTTCTTGCCGGTTCAGGATCCGCACACACTGCAATGCAAAATCTTTGCTTTGCCGACTTGTCCGACTGAACAGATCCTTACAGTGTGTGATGAGCAAGCGCTCCGTCACATCAGCCGAAAACTGCATCAGGGAGCCCAGTCTCTCCACCGTCCCGCAAAAGCTTTGCAGTAGCTCGAGTTTAGGGATGAAAAAATCTTCTTTCGCACCGTTCTTCCCCCTCCTTGCCTCAGCATCAACGATGGCATCCTTGAAGGAGTGGAAATCCGCAAGTGCCTGTGCCATGGACTTCAGTGAGTCAGGTGAATGAACTGGATTTTGTGCGAGGTAGATGAAGTCTATGAGGGCACGAATTGCACGAATGAATCTGGGTGGAGTGGCCCCTGCGATTGACGCGACAATAGTGCGTTGGATATCTCTGTGCTCACGCCCGGTCATTTGCTTAACGTGGGTGACACCTTTCGCAAAGTGGCGTGTCCCGACACGTTTATGCTGAATGGCGAAGCGGGCATCGAGCTCATGCTTGCCCACGGCCTCCTTGACCCAATTGAGCGGATGATCAAAGAAAAACTTATGGCAAGTATGGAGGATTTCAGCAGCAAGGAAGACAGACGGACAGGCGTACTTCCAATCACGCCAAAATGGCATATGAACTCCGGAAAGATAGACGGCTTTAGCCGCTTTCTGGAACTTGTCCAGGTCCCAAGGATCAATTGTTTTGGATATGTCGACAATGAGTTGTAGCGTATGCCGGCCAGTACGAGGGGGGTGGAGTGTGCCATCACCGAATTCCTTTTGTGTTGCCATGGTCAGAGGGGATGCACTTTTACTAGTTGCAGCGATCATACTGGCCTCTGGCAGGTCGCATACATGAGCAATGAGAGGTGTAAAGACATAACGAATATATCGGAAGGGATCCGACATGAAACAGCCTTCTGCTGCTGCGGCCTTGAGATTGGCTAAAATGAGATCCATACATTTGTGCCATAGTCGTGCCTGTAGGATTGTCTGATAGTCCGGATGCACTTTGAACTTGACAATGGGCATATAGCCTACACAGCGCCAAGCTCGTAACGTTGCCTTAGAGCGAACTTCGGAGTCGATATTGCCGATGGTGATGAAGACCGGATGCATCTCGAGCCCACCGGTGACTCGTGTTACAGGAGTTTTATCGGAACCTAATATGATTGGGACTTGAGTTGCGCCCATAGGAAGATGATCCTAGAAAATCCATCAAATTACGACCAGTAGACTGACAGCAAATATACCTGAATTTTCCATGCCATGTCAGCGCTCATATAATCTCCATATTCGTGCTGATCTCCAGCTTGGACGACATGTGGGTCAAATGTCATATGATTAGCAAAAGTTGGATCGCTGAAAAGTTGCTTGACCACATCTAACGCATCGCGCCAAATGAACTCTATAGGCTGAGATGTCTTGTAACCGGTGAATGCGATTTGAGAGACTTTCCACTCCGTGAAGCAGGGTAGCGTATCCATCCAGCCTATGAGTTGATCCTTCGAAGTGAAAGATGGTCTTTCACGAGTGTCAAACTGTGGGCATAGGATCAGACTTGAAGGTAGGAGCTTAAGTTCACGGTTACCCATGTCAGCTTCAAGAACTTGGCGATCTGAGTTTGAGTAAGATTTTCGACCAAGAACTTCCCCAATTGCCATTCGGCTTCGTCATGAAAAGGGTAGTAAGTGTTTTCCTTACGCCGATATGCATACTCGTCGTCTTCCAGCTTATCGAGCATGTTTTTGCCAGTTCCGAAAATGTATCCAGAGTGTGGATGACAACGACCAGTAGCGGGTATATAGCCAGTCGGATGGTTACCTTGACGAAATGCAGGAGGGAGAGGCAATTCTTGTGGACGTGCATCGGATGGCCAGCAAGTAGACTGAGAATTGAGATGGGCTGTGATTAATTCAATCGTTGGAAAGGCTCCTTGACAGTTGGGACAAAGCCTGTCAAAGTATGAAGGTATGTCTGTTCGTTGAGCAAAAATTGTACGCACATTGTAAGCTTTGCTTTGCGGTATAAAGTTGTATACACTCTGGCAGCACACTGCAAATAATCTTCAAGTCTTTGAAACTCCGCTGACCTGCGCATTTGCTCAGAATCATTAGCAAAGTACTCAGTAATACTCGACTTCTGGATGATGAATACATCCTCTCCTCCATGCTCCCCCCCTCGATCAAGCAGTCCCTCTAATTCTAGCGGAGCTTCTAGCGGTGGAACTCTTGTCGAATCATCAACATATGACCTCGCCAAATATAAAGGCTTATCATCATCCGGAATTCACGTTCTGTCCAAGCAGATAAACTCAGACAAATCCCCCGAATCGATGATCTCTGTGCTTTCTCCAACTGGGTCACACCGTTCTCTCCCCTTTATGGATGAAGTGCCGAGCCCTCCAGATGGCAAAGAGAGCCTATTCTTTAGGCATTCTGATACTCCACCTCCAGGTGCTTCCCCTCGTGCACAGTACCTGCGGGAACGAATGTCCAGGAAACATCAGCCATACCCTCTCCACCCAGCTCCACTAGAGCTTCGGTTTGCAGCTCGTGTAACAGGGAGGGTACGCCAACCAGAATTCACTCCCGAAGAAACTGAACAGGTATTTTTTCTTACAATCGTTCATTCATTCTCATGTTAATTATTGCAAGAATGAACAACTAGCGGAGAGAGGCTTGTCACAATTGAGCCTCGCAACTCTGTACAAGGCATACAAAGCGAAGCTGGCTTCCCGTGAGACTGCGCGCCAACGTCTGTTGACGACAACATGGGAGATTGAAGAGGCCGAGCGCTATACAGCATTCCTTGAAGCACTCCATGTCGAGAGTAAACGGTTCCTGGGGTTAGAGGATGCCAAGTTGGAGAAAATGAGAGAGTGGTTTTCTTCCCGTAACCTGACAGAAGTTGCAGACGATACCAACTACCTTCAAGCTGTCTACGATGACGAATGCGAGATCCTCCGATCTCTATCTACTCAGGCACGACAAGTCTCAAAGATCTTAGGAAAACGTTCCGATGATATATTCTCGGCATCCACAAGTGAATCTACCAGCAAATCGCCCTTAAACGTGCTCTCGGTCGTAGAAGATGAGGATGATTTAGATGATTTCTCGGACCTCGAGGCCTGATAAGATCTCCAAACGTGGTATGTACATGTGCATGTGACGGCTGATCTCCCGCGCTGATTTCATATCTAGTAGATAGCCCTGCTTCTTTGCCGTTTCGCTGTTTCATCAATTTTTCCCGTCACTTATGATCTTTCGTTTTGTACAGCTTGTACAGTTTGTACGTGTTATTACCTGCATACCAGAATCAAAGTGCCCGTTACATCGATAACCGATGACTTGATTGTTTCCTTCCCCTACTACAATCGTATCTGACTTGCTCGTTCCCCTCTACTAATTCTGCTCACCAAATGCAAGGTACTGGACGCGGTACCAATACCAAGCGCAAAAGCAAGGCTACCGTCCCAAAACCATCTCGGGGATCAGGGCTTAATCCGTCGGGACAGCCAGCCAACGATCAGCTCAACATTCCCTCAGAACGACTACGAATGCCCGACAATATGTTCGATCCGTATGATCGAGGTGGAGGTGGGCAAGGGAGCCATTGTGAGTGAATTATGAAACTGCGGACTCTCGATGCTGACGAAGACACGCCCGACACTTAAGCTGGTTCGATACCGCCACACTTTACCCTTGGGGACGACGGCAACTTTGACATAGACGCATTGTATGGTCAGGCTGGTAGGTCCCCGATCACACTCAATGATGCCTCAATGCTAACAGCATCAATTCCAGGTAGACAGACGCTGACAGACGCTTTGAGGTCAGATCCCTACACAGATGCAGACCTGCCCATGTCGCGATGGACTGGGCATGCGCCAGATCGCGGAGTACATCTAGTGCCGGCATACAAGCCAACTGATCTAACAACAATGCAGAGAGGTGAGATACCTTCATCCGATGTAGTGCATGTGAGTATCGATTCATTTGTTGGATGCACCCTGCTGACGCATTTGACTCTAGACTACAGGGCCTGCAAGGACCGTACGACGTGTGACCCGGCAGGTGTCAATGCCCTCAACACCATATGCGGTTCCACGAACTCTGGTGAGTTCTGATGCGCAAAGCCCTGTCGCCATCGAAGTGCGCGCTGGGCCTTCTGTGATGGAGCCGTCGTCGTCGTCACAGCCTCAAGACATTACGCCTACAAAAGAGGTCCGTCAACAAATCGTATGCAAGGCGAAACATGGGGTTGTTGGTTGGCTTTTCACGAAGTATGCGATGTCGCAAACTGCAGCAGATCGGAAACGCCTCATCAAGAAAGCCATTTTAGATGCAGTCCCAAGAATTTTCTCGTCGACCGGTGAGTTTTTTTATTAGATTCATCCATTACATGCTGCTAACAGGCTTTATAGTTTCATTCAATTCCCTAGTCACTAAAGAACAATATCGTTCTGTATCCCAAGCACTTACAAATGCACGCGGCAAAATTATCGACATTGCTCGCAGCGGTGTACCTCATGCGTACGAGCTATACCGCCCGAGTGGATATACGGAACGGACACCAACTCAATACCGGGTGCATATAGCTACGACACTTACCCGTACAGGCTCGTTGACGGTCATGCACTCGCATCATTTTGATCCGGTATGCGCATTCATTTTCGGTGCAACGAAATGTCTAATTTTCAATTAGGATGGTAACATACATGTTCACAGTCATTTCGACCATTCGTTCATCAAGCACGTCGTGATCCGGTTCATTTGGTATCTTCGACACGAAACCTTCCTTGGCGAATCCCCCCTCACGAAGATCAACTACATCATCGCGATTGCCGTAGCGGCTGTTTACTGTGTACTGCAGGAACAACGGATGCCGATGCCATCCATTGATCCCTTCACAGGTCTGGTCCATTACAACAAATTCGTTGAGGTCATCGCCGTCCTCGATGGTCTTGATGGAGAAGATAAAAAGGCGCTGGAAAGTTTTAAGCTTGATATGCTCGAAGTTGGACCATCGCAGATGCGCACTAATATTGAGGCTGATGATGATGATGATTTACTATACGAGTAGATAACATAGATCAATACAATGATTGTTTTCGATAATCTTGATAACGCATCTTTGCATAAATTGCCTGATATTACCGGCTCAGGGTGTAATATAACTAAAAGTATGCTTTACGAACGCAAACCTGAGCTAGTCCAAAAATGAAATGCTCAAAAGCACTTTAGAGCGAGCGTCGACCAACATCTAAAAAGCCGAGTTGGTCGACGCTCGCTCTAAAGTGCTTTTGAGCATTTCATTTTTGGACTAGCTCAGGTTTGCGTTCGTAAAGCATACTTTTAGTTATATTACACCCTGAGCCGGTAATATCAGGCAATTTATGCAAAGATGCGTTATCAAGATTATCACCGAAAGATAATCAGGCTTGAGTTTTATCAGCCAGATGCTAGTGCGTTATATTGGTGTTCAGCATCTCCACCAATCGCATGAGTGCGCTACTGAAGTCGTAAGCGTTCGTAAGTGTCCGTAACGCGCGTAAGTTAAGCGTTCATTTCAGTGGTTTTGCAGATGAACTCGGCTTTTTAGATGCTACTTTCCAAGGATGTCGTACGCTGGTTGTATCGAACGTTTTTCCAAGAATTATGCCCCGATTTAGTAAGTATGTACTGCACCTGGAGAGATGATGCGATATTTAAATTAGTCACGTGACAAAAATTGGGTGATATCGGACGCCGAGGGAGAGATTATAATCAATCTCAAAGTCGTTTCACTCCATCGGTAGCTTATAAGGTACCTTTTCGCTCCCATTCTAAAGGCTGTTCTGACGCTCTTTCCATCTTCTTTCAGATCTACCATTATCGCACTCTCTCGTCGATTCATCATGGGTGTCCTCGATATCGTTCCCGTTAGTACAGTCAACTTGAATCATCGGGCAAGCTGATCCACTGACGTACTCGCAGGCTGGTGTCCTAACTGGAGATAACGTTCGCAAGTTGTTCGACTATGCAAAGGAGAACAAGGTACGTCGCTCTCGACTTACTGTATCCTATTTTCTTAATGAAGCGCCTTGCGATTCTACTTCAATAGTTTGCCATTCCTGTGAGTGCCTTTCCTATCGGAAGTAAATATCCTGTTGAAACGACGATCTCTTCACCAGGCTATAGTGAGTGACGAAATCAACCACAGTCTCCTGGCCTGACTCCATCAAGAACGTCACTTCTTCATCCACCGCTAACGCCGTCTTGGAAGCCGCAAGGTCAGCAAATGAGTCTTAGCGATTCACAAAATGTTCACATCCAGCTCCGCAGAGACATCAAGGCTCCAATCATCCTCCAGGTCTCTCAGGGTGGAAGTGCCTACTTCGCCGGGAAAGGTCTATCAAATGACAACCAGCAAGCTTCCATTCTGGGAGCTATCGCTGCTGCCCACCACATTCGCACAGTTGCGAAGGCCTATGGCGTGTGAGTCTTACCTTTGCCTGGGATCTATGTTATTTTGATCCACGATGGATATCAGGCCTGTCGTTCTTCACAGCGACCACTGTGCCCATAAGCTCCTTCAATGGTTTGATGGCATGCTTGCTGCCGATGAGGCTTATTTCAAGGAGCACCAAGAGCCCCTTTTCTCTTCACACATGCTTGACCTGTCCGAAGAGCCAAAAGAAGAGAACATCGCAACTTGCGTCAAATACTTCAAGCGCATGGCACCTATTGGTATTTGGCTAGAGATGGAAATTGGTATCACCGGAGGTGAAGAGGACGGTGTTGATAACACTGGTGTCGACAACGCATCCCTCTACACGCAACCCGAGGACATCTACGATGTCCACGCTGCTTTGAGTGCGATTAGCCCCAACTTCAGCATTGCTGCTGCGTTCGGTAACGTGCACGGCGTCTACAAGCCTGGAAACGTCAAGCTCCAGCCTGAGTTGCTGGGCAAGCACCAAGCTTACAGTAGCAAAAAACTCGGTGGCAAGTTCGAGAAGCCTCTCTACCTCGTGTTCCACGGTGGTTCTGGGTCAACCAAGGAGGAGATCAGGACTGCAGTCAACCATGGTGTCGTCAAAATGAACGTTGATACCGGCGAGTCTGTTAGGTTTAGTAATGAATCCAGTCGCTGACGCGAAAACTATCACTCAGATACCCAGTTTGCTTACCTCGCTGGTATTAGGGTACGATTGACCATCAGTCCTGGAGATCGCGCAAGGGCTGACCGTTATCTCTCAGGACTTTGTTTTCAAGAAAAAAGATTACCTGCTCACTCAAGTTGGTAACCCTGAGGGCGCAGACAAACCTAACAAGAAGGTTCGTTCTAGCTTATCTTTTATGACATTTCTGTCATTCATCTCTGATTGCAGTTCTATGACCCCCGTGTCTGGGTTCGTGAGGGAGAGAAAACGCTCTCGGCACGGGTCAAGGAGGCTTGCAGTGACCTCGGCAACGTTAGTGAGTGTCAAATTGAGCTTGATCGTCGATCAGTCATTGACGTGAACATCGCCCGTAGACCGCTTGTAAAGAAAGTGCTTGTAAATGCATGTATAACTTAGAAACAGAGTTTCAAGATGTGTACTTCTGTAAATGCTTAGATAATCATGACGCGTGAAAGCAGCCTTGTTGCTATTAATTCAAATCGACATAAACATGTTCGGGATGTTCTGCAGAACTGAAAGGTGACCGTCGTAACTCGTGAACGTATAAAGAGCTCCAGGTACTATCTTGGTTGATGGAAGCATCGGAATTTGACAACTGTGGGTGGCTTCCAATTGGCCGAACTTCTGTTGATTTTTGACAAATTCTTGAACCACTGTTGTAAACCACGAAGTGTACATCAAAACTGCACCACCAACATCCCTGAGGCCCGAGGCATCTCGCCTTGTCTATAGTCTGTAATTCAAAAGATCCTGCTCGACCGGATCCAGTATTTGTTATTGTAACAACATGACTTCCGCTCTGAACGATTTTGGTACGTGATTGTTAATCTTTACTCCGCTCGACTGCGACTCACACTTACCACGCACAGTCTATGCTTCTTTCCTCATTCCGATCTTCTTCACCATCGAATGCACCAGATGCATTCTCTACGTCTCCGACAGAACGCCTGGCAGTGGTCCATTGCGCTTGGTCGTCTTACTACTCAACATCCTCGCGGTTGGCCCACTCCAAGTGATTTTTGGATGGGTGCTAATGGTCGTATGGTTCCCTGTGCGAGCTCTTCTGTGGTTCATGGGTATAGGAAGGGGTGCGCCGAAGAAAGGTGCATGTGTTTGGTCTCTCGTTTGCCCGTTGCGCAAGATGGCTGACGATCAATTCATGCGTCGTGTATGTAGGCTCGGCAGCTGCAACAGCGCGATTCTATGAACTCAAGAAGAGACGAGCTCAGAACAGGCGAGGGGAAAGTTGATCAGCAGGACTCGAGGTATTGTCATATGATTTTCTTGGGTTCTGTGTACCTCTAGAAGTGTATTGTTTCTTCAAATTCTTGCACCAGTACTGTTGTTGTTTCATGACTGCTGCCGTCGCTTTATTATATATTTATGCTCTCTGAAATCGGCTTACAATGCTATGATCTCATGAGGACGCAAATTGGGGATCGGACGATACATAGACTGGGCGCTCGTGGATGATAGATGAACGCATACTAGAAGCGTGTCGAGTCCGTGATCGCATTACAGTGCTAGATATCGATGTGTCAGAACTTCAAACAATGACATAACGCTAACGGGCACAGCGCAGCCTGACTTTACATACGGCAGATGTTGCCGAGCTGTCACGTGCTTACTGTCCTTGTACAGGTGCCGAGTCTGCCGACCGGTCTATCACCTAGGTGATGGGAATTATAGGTGCATAGTTGATCCACTTGTAAATAGCTGACACTACTGATCCGATCATGGACGCGACAAGGTCCTGTTTACCATTATGCGTTCACATGATCTACGAGTCCGATCCACAACTTGCGTCCTTATGATAGCTTCGTAAGCCAATTGCAATCAGTCTGCACCATCATCCGTTATCAGCGCTTCGACCTTATGCGTAAAGACTGGCCTCAATATTCGCGACCATGTAACTATATATACAGGGTCAGTTTTGCTGTCTTCATCCAGCTAACACACCAACCATGTACATCCCTCCATTCGATACCACCTCCTACTCCACCACCACCCAATCACCCAATCCATCCTGGACGTACGGCCAGAAAGTCGACGTCACTCCTACCGGAAAAGACTGGCTCGCAGGCGATTCTGCAGGCTGGAAAGTCTATAACACAGCAGAAATGGACAAGGCGTACGTACTCCTCCACCTGTTTATCAGCCGCGATCGTGACCGCAATCCACAGCAATATTAGGAAACTCTTGAATTCAGGCATTGCACCACGCCCCATGACAATTGTATCTACGATCAGCGAGGATGGCGTAGAGAACCTGGCATCGTTCAGGTAAGACACTTTCATCATCTATTGCGTTCTGCACGCTTACCTGGCTATCTATCAGTTGGTTCAACACAGTGAGCAATACAACAAACAACGCGTCTTTCTAATGGTTAACCTCTTCCCATAGGTCACGGACTACCCGCCTGTCATCTCATTCGGAATCAACCGAAACCCTGCGGGCCACCTAAAAGACACGACCAGGAACTTGAAGAACGGTCAAGGGTTCGCCGTGAACATCATCAGCGAGGCGTTTATCGAAAATGCAAATGCAGCTGCCGTAGACGCTCCTCCCGACGTCGACGAGTGGACTCTCAGTGGTCTGACAAAGGAGAAATGCGTACGTGTGCACCTTCATGAAATGATATATGCGCTAACAACGACACGTTCAGGTGCAAATAAGAGCCTCGCGCGTCAAAGAAAGCGCTTTTAGTATGGAATGCGAGGTAATTCCATTTCACGCCTAGCCCGCTCGCTCGCTAATAACGTCGGCTCCCAACAGCTGTACAAATCGATAGATATCACGCACCCGGTCACAGGCGAGCACACCAGCACGCTCATCCTCGCGCACGTCAAGTACTTTCATGTGCGCAAAGACATGCTCACAGGCAGGGGTGCCGTCGACCTCGCCAAGTTCAAGCCTGTCGGACGTGTGGGCGATATCTCATATGCCCGGGTTGGAGATACATATAGGATCCCTATTCCATTATGGGCGCAGGAGGAGGCAAAAATACAGGAAGCATTGAAGACTCTCGCATCAACATGACATAGAACGGAGATTGGCTCACTATTTTTCTAGGGAACATATACCATAGATCATATAGATATCATCATCCAGGCGGGATCGAGTCCGTCGTTATTTTTTATCCTTAAAATAGACCTTCATAATTGACTAGCAAGCCTTACTTTTTACATCATAATAATCATCAACTTCTCAAATATAATGTCCTTCAGAGCTATTGACAATCATTGTGAGCGTGCAGGCAGCTACATTCGCGACATATGCATGTCAAATTGCTCTTTGAATGCGATCTCGGCACGTAACAACTGCATCTGAAAGGATTGCATGAATTATGAATGGCCTGTATATAGGGCTTCGTTGCTTGTGATGCAGGGGTAGCATGTTGTAACCAATACGGTATCATACCAGTGCCCATCCTACATATAATCTATGGTATATGTTACCAAAAAACGGTTCCTTCGTTCTATTTCACAGTGAAGCGCCGTGAGTCGTCAATGCCTCCTGTATCTTCGCCTCATCCTGCGCCCATGATGGACGAGCGATCCTGTACGCATCTCCAACCCGGGCATATGAGATATCGCCCAAACGCGCGACAGGCTTGAACTTTGTGAGATCGATAACACCTTTCTCTGTGAGCACGTCTTTGCGGACGTGAATGTACTTGACGTGCGCGAGGATGAGCGTGTTGTTGTGCTCGCCTGTAACTGGGTGGATGATGTCTATCGCTTTGTAAAGCTGTTGGGAGGTGGTGTTGTTAGCAAGCGAGCGGGTTCGGCATGAAATGGGATTACCTCGCACTCCATGCTAAAAGCGCTTTCCTTGACGCGCGAGGCTCTTATTTGCACCTGAACGCGTCGTTGTTAGCGCATATATCGTGTTATGACGGTGCACACGTACGCATTTCTCCTTTGTCAGACCGCTGAGAGTCCACTCGTCGAAGTCGCGAGGAGCATCTATAGCAGTCGCATTTGCGTTCTCGACGAATGCCTCGCTGATGATGTTCACGGTGAATCCTTGGCCGTTCTTCAAGTTCGTGGCCGTGTCTTTGAGCCGACCTGGGGCGCTGTGGTTGACTGCAAAGGAGATGACAGGAGGGTAGTTCGTGACCTATGGGAAGAGGTTATTGAACGATTGAAGAGACGTTGTTTGTCGTATTACTCACTGTGTTAAACCAACTGGTAGATGCAACCCAGGTAAGTGTGCGAAGTATGTTGGATACCGGAGGTGTGTCTTACCTGAACGGTGCCAGGTTCTCTACGCCATCCTCGCTGATCGTGGACACGAATGCGATGGGGCGTGGTACGATGCCTGAAATCAAGAGCTTGTAGAGATCGCTGTCGATCGCGGTCAGATCGCGACTGAACAATAGGTGGGGGAGTACGTACATCTTGTCTGTTTCTGCTGTGTTGTAAACTTTCCACCCAGCAGATTCGCCTTCGAGCCACTCTTTGCCGGCAGGAGTAGCGTCGACTTTCTGACCGTACGTCCAGGATGGATTGGGTGGTTGGGTATAGGTGGAGTAGGAGGTGGTATCGAATGCAGGGATGGACATGGTGGACTGGATGGATGAAGAGAGCGAAACTAGCCCTGGATTTATATTTACATGGTTGCAAATCGAGCACATACGAGGCTGATAACGGACGATTCGGGATGACGCTGACTACTTGGCTTACAAACGCTATCTGATAAGCACGCAAGATGGTACCATTCCTAGCAACGAATGTTGGACGAGACTAGTACATTGCTTGCCGCGATAACGACAGGAAGCACTTTTTTTGGACAAGTGTCTTTCAAGATAGTATTAGTAGGCGGCGCTGTCAAATCCCAATCAGTCCGTCACTGATTAGCCTCGTGTGTTAGCAGACAACGCGGAACCGACGAAAATGTGTGCTTGGCAGATATTCGGCAGTGGAACGTCGAATGCTGTCCGACGATACTTGATGGAGACGACTTGGAAAACACAGGGTCCCGTCTCCCGCTAACATACGATATCTTGGGACTCTGCACGTCTGTCCTGTAATTCGCACTTGCCGTTGGACGCTTCGCTCAGCATGCGCTGGAGATGCGACAGTATCTCCGCATAGAAACATGATTAGTGTATGAGCCAGGCCGCAAGATGTGCCCTCTGCGCTCGTTAAATTCCTCAGCTCGGGATCAGTTTGCGGGAGCATCATTCGCATGGAAATTATCTCATCGTCCAAAATTTAGTCAGGACCTTGCAATTGAGATAAGAAGTTTGGAGGTACTGCAGCAAATCAACACACGAGCAAAATAAACGCGAAGAAAGGTGCCAATGACTGCGTCAGGCTTGAGACAAATGCCCGCAACGACGCAGTCGTTCACTAAAAAGAAATAAGAGCGGAGGAATCAGACTACAATGCAATATAAAAGGTCGTTTAATAACAAGATAGTTGTTTGAGAGACCTGACTTACAGACCGGGAGTACTGCGAATCTCGATGATATCGCCTGACCGTGACTCTGGGAGCGTGGATATACATATAAGGAATCGGAGCACCCTCGAGTCCATGGCTCGTTTGGAGGACAAGCACTGGGAGGTTCCAGTGATTAGCAATAAGTAAGTACTTGTAGTTAATGCGCACTCACCGTTTAGGAACACCGCAGCAGTCGCATGCGGCAGTGGCGCAGCATTTTCACGATGCCCGTGGCAATGATGGGAAAATTCCGAGGCTGTACCACGAAATTTAGTTGCATTTTGTGCACACAATCTTGGGAGTCTGTTGGATGGAGAAGTGATATTGCAGTGAGCTATATACATGCGTTCGAAGAAGTAACTTGGTGATAAGCTGGAGTAGCTGCTAGATACGAAGAACAACGGTATTCATGCAGGATAGACAGTCAGATTCGAGCGCTGGAAAGCACGGACCAGTGCTCGACTTGATGCGATAGGATACATTCTGGAAGCTGTGAAGACAAGAGTCAGACGCATGTATGTACTGCAGATGTGCATACGTCGAGGACAGCGAGTATGACAATAGGATGGGTGCATTACGGTGATGGAGGCGTGGGCACGAACAGGCGGCCTTAGATATTCCGGGCATCTATTGAGCTGGGAAGCACCATAAAACGCACCATACACCCTCTGCAGCTTAGAGAAAGACACAATCCCTCCAAAGTTTAGCCTCATCCGTATTCCATACGATCAACATCCAGTAAAATGTCGGAGCTCATTACAATCACCACTCCCCTGCGATGGTTCAAAGGCCATGAAAAAGGGATAACCGCAGTCGCAGTTTTCCCTGATAAACACCGGATGGTTACAGGCTCGGTCGACACAACGGTTCGTCTGTGGGACTTGAAGACAGGTGTTGTGTTAAAGAAGATGGAGGGGCATCGCAATTGGGTGTGGAGATTGGCGGTATCACGAGATGGGCAATATTGATAGCAAGCGGTGATACAAGCGGAGAGGTCATCATCTGGCACGGAGAAACTGGCGAATCACTCACCAAAATCAAAGCACACTCCTATTATACCTCCTCGCTGGATTTTTCTCCCGATGGAACAGTGCTGGCCACTGGTTCATTGTTCGATGAAATGACGAAACTGGAATACCAAAACCTGGCAGCTGCAAGGAAATCCAATCGAGTGTCAATTTGTCAACTGTGTACGGCATTCACCGTCAGGAGAACTTCTTGTCATCACAACAAATGAGGATATTCAAATTTACAATTCAGGCACAAGGAAGCTCGTCACATTATTCAAGGGTCACAAATCATTCAACTCGTCACTCGCGTGGACGCCCGATGGCACACGCCTTCTCACAGGTGGCAATAGTGAAGATCCTACTGTACGCGAATGGGATACGACAACCTGGAAGCAGGTCGGTGATCCCTGGACGGGCCACACCAATGAAATCAATTCCATTGCCGTTCATCCTGCTGGCACACTCGTTGCATCTACATCTAGTGACAGCCACACCCGTCTCTGGCAGCTCTCCGACCGACAAACCATTGCTGTCTTCAAGCACTCACTCGCCAATTTATGCGTCACTTTCTCCGTGGACGGCAATCACGTCTTCAGTGGAGGTTACGATGAGATGATCTCAGAGTGAGCAGTACCTCAGGGTATACATCCAAAGGCATGTTTCCGTCTCTGGCTCATATGCCACAAATCGAGCATGCTTCTTGCAGACTATTGCCACCACAACAGTCCGCGATGCATGCATAGATGGTGACTTATCTACTGACGAAGAACTACTCGTGCAAGATATCAATACCGATGCGAACGACCACACTCCCTACGTCCATCGCTCAAAGGCATGTTTCCGTTCTTGACTCATATATACCACAATTAGAGCATGTCGTGCAGATCCTAGCCATCACGACCTCCCGTATTGCATGTCTAGATGGAGACTTATCTACCGCCGAAGAACTACTCACTCAAGATATCAACATCAATCCAAACGACCATACTTCCTACGCCCATCGGTCATTCGTCATGGCACGAAAATACGACTGGGACCGCGCCCTTCTGGACGCAATCAGGGTGAGAATCATCACCGCCTTATACAGGGCTAACTCGACAGTGACATAGTCCATCAGGATTCAGCCCTCATTGACGGGCTATATCTCCAAGGGCATTGCCCTCTGTGGAAAAGGCCGCGTCCTGGATGCGAGGGCAGCATTTGATGTTGCATCCATGTACACGGACCAGGATTCAGAAATCACACATTTTCTGCTATTGATCAAAGTATGACACATTTACCTCGCATACTCTTTCCCTCATCGCGTATTTCAGGCCATCGCGCTTTTCAATGCAGATCAACATGACGAGGCAATCCTGCTCCTCAAAGAGCTCGCTGCTGGTTGTCCAAATGCCGACACTCTCGCATGTGATATTGTGCAAGTAAGTATCATGCATGCTTGGTCATCAACACTCATCTTTACAACTCGCACATTAGGCATATCTACACGTTCAACCCAGAATCAAAGCCTTGGATGGCGCACGCTACGACGAAGCTACTGACTATATCACTGCCGCTCTCGACTCTCGCAATTCATCATCGAAATCGAACATTCATGAAATCTATGAGGATTTGGTGGTGGTACGTCAAGATGACGCATGTATAACGCTTTTCACAACTGGATATCTTGTCTAGCTCTTTGGCTGGGACCTGAAGTTGTTGTGGCGAAAGGCACCCCATAAACGGTGTGATGCACTCCTTCGGGCGGGTAAACTTCAAGATGCCGTGAAATTATACCAACACATGATGACTTCGAGTGACGAAATCACCAAAGGCGACTGGCTTGATTGGTCCAATGGCGAGTCTAGAACCCCTAATATTGCGCAAGAGACAATCCTCACCTGTATTCCTCTCAGATTTCAAACAGCAATGCAGCGCACTCTGCGCTGCCAATGGAGAGGCTGCCTTCGCTGCAAGCGATTACGACAAGGCTATTGACATATATTCAATGGCGATCGACCTGGATTCTGCATCCGATATCTTCTTTGCAAGTCGCAGCCAGGCAAAGTTAAGTAAAATGCTGTGGGAGGATGCGCTCCTCGACGCGCGAAAGGTGCGATGGCATCCACATTCTAGTAGCCCATGTTGACTTTGGCGATGCATAGGTCACCGAACTCAATCCTTCGTCTCATGTCGGGTACCAGTTGTCACACTCAGCGCTGCGTGGCGCGCAACGATACGAAGAAGCCATCGAGGCCTTCACAATCATGTGGTCCAAGTTGGACGACGCTCCAGAAGTGCAGATACGAGGTAAGCCATGGAACATTACTACCTCGTCTCGAAATGCCTATCTTGTTCTGCAGATCTGCGTCGGCAGTACGTCCGTCCATCGGAAGCAGAAGACGCTATTCGAGGAGCGGTTTGGATTGAACTCAGCAACGCCCCCCTTCGTCTGCTCAACACCTCTACGGGTCTTTTGTGTGACCGAGCAGCACAGCTGAACTTCTTCAAAACAAGTCCAGAATACAAGGAGCTTTTGTCATCCATAGCGAAGCGTTCGGATCTCGAAATGGAACGCATCAAGGGGGTGGTGGCGACGCACTTCCGTTGTGTTTTGCTATCACATAGGTGGGAAGAGACGGAGGCGCTGCTGCACCACATCCAGGACAAAGTGGTGTACGAGCTGGATGGACTCGGTGGCACCGCGAAACTGCAGTCGTTTTGCAAAGTCGCTCGTGATGCGGGGTATTTTTGGGCATGGATGGATACATGCTGCATTGATAAGAGCAATAACGTCGAGCTTCAAGAATCGGTCAATTCCATGTTCGTCTGGTACCGCCACTCAGCGCTCACCATAGTCTACCTATCCGATGTTCCTCCTTCATCCAAGCCCGGTGCACTGGCGAGTAGTGTTTGGAACGAACGAGGATGGACATTTCAAGAATTCGTCGCTCCGAAAGTCGTTATATTTTATCAGAAGGATTGGTCGTTGTATCTGGACGATCGCTCTCCCAACCACAAAGAGTCCCCAGGAATCATGAAGGAGTTGGAGGATGCGACGGGAATAGATGCACAGGCCCTGACCTCCTTTCGTCCAGGGATGAGAGACGCTCGAGACAAGCTGCGATGGGCATCAAAACGTGTCACCACGATGCAGGAAGACATCGCGTACTCGTTGTTTGGTATCTTTGGCGTCCACCTGCCTGTAATCTATGGCGAGAAGAAGCAAAATGCCCTCGGACGGCTCCTGCAGGAGATCGTGGCTAGATCGGGCGACATCACTTCCCTGGACTGGGTCGGACGATCGTCCGAGTTCAATAGCTGCCTTCCAGCCGACATCATCTCATATGCGGCGCCGCCATGCTCCCTACCATCATTGTCTGAAGATGAGATTCAGACAGCAGTCTCCTCGTTGCGAAGCATTGTGGCTGTGGATTCAGCTTCAAAGTTGTATAACATACTCGAGAACATGAATGTTCCCGTCTTCGCCAACTGCAGACTCCGTCTGCCTTGCATCGCATTCCGGGTCATGGAAGTCAAACGCAAGCGGGGTCATACTGCCCATTCCACGTATGGAGTGAAAGCAGATGGGCTTCAAGACTTGCTGATCACCACGGACGAGACCCTAATTCAATTCTCGCGCACAAGGCCCACTCAGCAGGCGTTCTTTCTTGTCCGTCCATGGGACCGCCGTCTCCTCGGGCTGCCTGATTTTTCAGAGCAGTTCACCTTTGCAGACAAAGGGGAGAGCGTAGGGTATTGGTCCGAGTCCCAGTCTGGATTAGACGTCAGGTCCAGCGATTCACCTGGAGGAGGGGAATTGTCGGTTGACTTGGAAGCTCACTCACGATCATTGCGTTTGATGGTTCACCTTGGGCAGGCTTTCGGCGCACTTTTGGTAGCGCAGCAACGCGTTGGAGAATACAAGAGGGTCGCGTCGGACCAATATATCATTGCGCAGGTGAAAGACCCGGCTTCGATTGACATTATGAACATCAGGACCCTGGACATATTGTAGCTGAATGGTTTTTTACATCACGTCGACGATCACATTATCATAGCCTCATATATCATACATACCCTGCAAATGACCTTCGCAAATACAAGATTTCAAAATTTGACATGCGGAGGCACCATCTGCTCTGGAGGTGGTTGCAGAGGACGATATCGTGTGTCCGCATCAGAGTCAACATGTGCACTTGGACTGTGTTAAGCAACACATCCGGGTTGTTTGGATTCGTAGCTATTGCGAAACCACATCCTGAAAGACATAGTTCATTTGCAATGGAACATACACGATTATTCGTATGCAGTGGCAGGCTGTAATCTAGTGTAGTAACCTGGCGCATTCTCTGGTGCATAGATCAGGCTTGTGTTATCAATTAGATATTGCTGTCTGGACTCTGCTGCAATCGCAGGACGCTCACCAGATAGCGAACGTTCGGAACATCGAACGCACTTCAACGCAGCGGGCATCACTATTGGATTTCCTTGCCACGGAAATTCGTTCGAGCGTAGTAGTGGCGTAGCCATGTCTCCTTTACTCCACAGCTTCGTACTTCGATCCAGTGAACAAGCAACCATAGAAATGATACTTACTAGGGATGCCTGCACTTTGCAGCGGTCCGAGTGCCTGGTGCCCTGGGCGTCTAATATGCAGATTGAGGCTGTGAAGAAGCAACAAGGCCCGGCACCTCTTGGATCAAGACACTCACGAGCTCTCCAGCAAATCGTGTTCCACATCGTCCACCTCGAGCAGAATAATGCAAGAAGAACATCCTGCCATCCGAATCACCACGACTAGTCAAATATTTAAAGGCCATAGACATAGTGTATTTGCAGTTGCAGAATTCCCCGATGGACGCCGTATGGTGACGGCCTCGTACGACAAGACCCTTCGTCTATGGGACTTAGAAAACGGCGTCGTATTAAAGATAATGGAGGGACATCACTGGGGCATACGAGTAGCTGCAGTATCAAGAGACGGGCAATTCATAGCAAGCGGTGATTTTGGCGGGGAGCTCATAGCCTGGAACAGGGACGGCGAACCTCTCACCCAGCCCATCCGAGTCAAAGTCCACTCCAACAAGATTTTCTCGCTCGATTTTTCTCCAGACAGCACATTTCTGGCAAGTGGCTCGATGGACAACACAGTGGAGCTCTGGAACACAAAAACATGGCGGGTGGAAGGGAATCCAATCAATTGTGGGACTGAAGTCCGCTGTGTTCGGTATTCGCCGTCCGGGGAATATCTTGCCATCGGAACCAAAAAGGACATCCAAATATGGAATGCACGCAAGAGAGAACGAGTCGCAAAGTTCCAGGGTCATTCTGCGTTTAATGGAGCATGGAATTACTCAGTCGCATGGACGTCTGATGGCATGCGGCTGTTCTCATCGGGCTCTATTCTAGATCCCACCATAAGGGAGTGGGATACATCGACCTGGAAGCAAGTTGGTCAACCCTGCACGGGCCATACTGACACTGTTTACACGATTGCCTTCAACCCTACTGGCACCCTTATCGCGTCTGCATCTGAAGACCAACAGGTTCGCCTTTGGCGGCTTTCAGACCGATCGCTCATCGCCATATTCAAGCACCCCGATCAATTGTATTGTGCCACGTTCTCCGCGGATGGCAAGCACATTCTCAGCGGAGGCAGAGACACTGTGATTTCAAAGTGGAAAGTACCTTTCCTGGAGGACATTTCCAAGGACAAGCCATTAGATGTAAGTTTTGTTCATTCTCTGTCCCTTCTTCATCTCATTTTCTTCAAGGATATATTACGGGAGGATGTCCCGCCGAGGGAACAAGGGGCAGATAATGTGAGTTCTCGTTCTTTGCTCGTCTCCTTACTTATTGATTCTCAATCTTGATGCCAATGCTCAACAGCCTGAATGCGAGGTATATTTCTAGCTTTTTCGCCTATCACTTAATCTGAACATGCATGATGCAGATCCTCACTATCAGCGCGACAGCCCGCGATGCATGTATAGCCGGGGACTTGCCTACTGCCGACAGGCTGTTAACACAAGATATTGCCGCCCATGGCAACGACTACAAATCTCATGCGAATCGTTCGTTTGTCAAGGCGAGAAATTCAGACTGGGACAACGCACTTGATGACGCACTCAAAGTGAGAAGCACCATTTCATTTGACCTTTTTTTAACACAGACTAACTTATATGGTTATACAGAGCATCAGTATTAAGCCATCCTTGATGGGCTGCATATGCAAGGGTATCGCCCACTGTGGAAAAAACCAGTTTCAAGACGCGATGAAAGCATTTGACATCGCGTTCATGTACGTGGACGCAGACTTGAATAAAACTCGTCTTCTACTCTTGATCAAGGTATGTCAATCGTGTCTCGTGTATTCGCTACTCACACGATAACCGTCAGGCCATCGCTCTTTTCAATGCAAATCAACACGACGAGGCGATTCTGCGCGTTCAAGAGCTAGCTAAGACTCGTCCCAAACCAAATTCTCTTGCCTGCGGTATCGTAGAAGTGAGTGCTACTGACAAAGTCGACTCCAGATTCATGCATCGGTGCTGATTTCGCAAACCTCGCACTTCAGGCTTATCTACACGTCCTACTGGGAATGAATGCATTAGACGACACACGTCACAACGAATCAGCTGACCACTTCACTGCTGCCGTCGACGCTATTGGTTTCTCGTCTATGTCGGCCATCCACTCTAGATATGATATCTTCCCGGTGGTGGGTTGATTACAATTCAACTGGAAATTTTTAACGCCCCATTGCTTTTTCTAGTTATTCGGATGGGACCTCCAATCTTTGTGGCGAACTGCACACCAGAATTGGTGTGATGCGCTCCTTCGGACAGGTAGACTTCCAGAAGCCATCAAAGCATACCGGTACATAATGGATAGGGCTGATGAGGCTATGAAAGCAAGCTACCTTGATTGGTCCACTGGCGAGTCTTCTTGATGTAAACCAGGAATAATTCTGATCCTTATTTCACTTAGCTTTCAAGCAGGATTGCAGCGTGCTCTATGCTGCCGCCGGAGTGCCTGATATCATTGAGAGCGGGGATGTTGCCCTCGCTGTGGGTAATTACGATAGGGCCATCGAGCTTTACTCTGCAGCGATCGACCTCGGTCTGGCAACAGATACAACCTTTGCGAACCGCGGTAAGGCAAGGTCGGGAAAAATGTTGTGGGAGGACGCACTTCTCGATGCGAACAAGGTGCGATAATAGTTACTGTTTTCGTATTCGATACTCATTTTAGTGGTATGCAGGTCATCGAACTCAACCCCTCATCTTACTCCGGATATCAGTTGAAGCATTCGGTACTTCATGGCGCACACAGATATGATGAAGCCATCGAGGCGTTCAAAATCATGATATCCAAGTTGGAAAATGCTTCCGACACGCAAACCCAAGGTACGCCTCAAATAGCACATCCTCTAAAAATTGTTGACTCCTTGTCCAGACTTGCGACATCAGTATGGTATTCCATCCGAAGCAGAACGTGCTATTGAAGAGAGCATTAACGCTCAGCTCGACGATACCCCGCATCGTCTAATCGACACCTCCACAGGGCGCTTATGCAATAGAGAGACACAGATCGATGCCTTCAAAGCCAGCACGGAGTACAAGGAGCTTTTGTCATCCACCATGAAGTATGTAGATCTTCCAATACAGCGCATCCAAGACGTGGTGGCGGTATACTTTCGTTATGTCATGCTCTCGCACAGGTGGGAAGGGAAGGAGCCGTCGCTGCATGACATCCAGGACAAGGTGGTGTACGACTTAGATCCAGTTGGCGGCATCGCGAAGTTGCAGTCGTTCTGCAAAACTGCTCGTGATAAAGGGTATCGCTGGGCCTGGATCGATACCTGTTGCATTGACCAGACTAACAACGTCGAGGTCCAACAATCGGTCAACTCCATGTTTGTCTGGTATCGCCACTCAGCACTCACCATCGTCTACCTGTCGGATGTTGCACCTTCATCGCAGCCTGGAGTACTCGCAAGTAGCGTTTGGAACACGCGAGGATGGACTGTTCAAGAATTCTTGTCCCCAATATTTATCTTATTCTATCAGAAGGATTGGTCCTTATATCTCGGTGATCGTTCTCCCAACCACAAGGATTCCCTTGCAATCATGCAAGAGATGGGAAATGCGACGGGCATCAATGCACAAGCCCTTGTCGCCTTCCGTCCGGGGATGAGAGACGCCCGGGAGAAACTCCAATGGGTGTCAACGCGTGTCACCACGTGGCCAGAAGATATCGCATACTCATTGTTTGGTATCTTTGGCGTCAACCTGGCTGTCATTTATGGGGAGAAGAAACAAAAGGCGCTAGGGAGGCTCTTGCAGGAGGTCGTAGCTCAGTCGGGCGACATCAGTGCCCTGGACTGGGTGGGGCAATCATCCGAATTCAATAGCTGTCTGCCGGCCGACATAACTTCATACAAAGCACCACCGTACACCCTGCCATGTCTGTCTGAAGACGAGATTCAGAGATCAATCTCCTCTCTCCGACAAGTCATGGCTGTAGATTTGGCTCTAAACATTTACACCCTGCTTGACGACCTGAACGCGCCTCGTTTCGGGAACTGCAGACTGCATCTGCCTTGCATCGCATTTCGGGTCACAGCAGTCAAACGGAGTCACACCGAAGGCCAAGAGATATATGAAGTCAAGGCCGACGGGCTTGATGACCTACTGATCATCACGAAGGACAAGTTGAATCAATTCTCATCACCACGACCCACTATGCAGACATTCTTGCTTGTTCGTCCATGGAATCGTTATCTGCTCGAGCTTCCTGAGTCCGCAGAGCCATCGGGCTTGGCAGGGCTTCCTGACGTTGCTGGCGACACGGACAGTGAAGAAGAGTATTCGTCTGCGCCCGGCTCTCCATTACAGAGTTCGTCCAGCGAGTTCCCTGAAGCAGAGGAGTCGGTCGATTCGGAACTTAGCGATCGAGCCTTGCGATTGATTGTTCATCTCAAACAGCCTTTTAGCGCGTTTTTGCTAGCGCATCAGCGCGGCGGAGAATACAAGAGGATCGCGTCAGATCATGATATTATTGCACAAGTCAAAGATCTTTCTTCTATTCCGGACATGGTTAGGACGGTAGAGATATTGTAGCGTTGTGTATTTGTGGTAGCAGAGATCTCTCATCTGTACCGTGACAGTTGCCGGTGCCAACTTTGTCTTCGGAATATGACCCTAGTGCCAATGTCTAGTGATGTTCCGTACGATCCACACTCATTGGGTATGAATGAATATTCATGTACTACACAGCTCGAGTGCTCAACGGTGCCGCTCGGCCATTAATTACTCGATGCGCGAAAGACAAATCCCCTTGCTCGAACTTTCTCTTGTGCCGAGATTAATTGGAGAACAATAACACCCAGAAGCAGCCATGTTGAAACAACGAGCAGATGTTGATGCCATCATGCGGCAGATCAGTGACACGTTGTCCTCCTGTCAGCATACATTGACACTACTAATACAATGTATCATCTCAAATCCCACAGCCTCGCGGAGTACAACCTGGGATTATGAATTGACACTTATTTGCCTCATCATTGCCGGAGTTTGAACTGAAGCTGTAACTCTACCTGGTCCGACAGTAATGCAGATTGATTGGAGGTACAGACGTAATTACGGTGCTTGCGCTCATCACCATTGTCATGACTTTCTAGCTCTACGAGCAGATCCACAGACCGACGAATACCCGATCGATGTTATATCAATACAGCACTGCCGACTAGATCTAATGAACATGCTTCCGCCTGCAAATCAATCTCATCATGCGTACGGTGGCTGGTTGGTATCAGTAAGCCAACCAGATGAGGGACCGACCCCTGTTATTGTCGTTAGAGATCGCATGATGATACTGGTAGCGAACGCGACAAACCTCCATCTACCCCGATGTTCAAAGTTGTTCCGGTCAATTCTGAATCGAAGGACGCCACGCTTTTGTTAATGTAATAATTATTCCAGATGATCGTGCAGCTGGGGCTAGGAGATGGTGGTCTACTTTGTGAGGGCGCGGGTTTGACTGAAGGGAACCTGTTCAATTATATCATGGGTGATGATTTTGAAAACATACTGGTTTGACCATCATCCTCATCCTCATCCTCGTCTTCGTCTGCTTTTCTGGAGTTCGTTATTCGCTTCAGGTTCGCAAAGACCTCTTGCTCTTCTTGTTCGTTATGTACCTCCACAGTTATACCTCTGATGGTTTCGTTGGGAGGAAGATCGGCGACTGATCCACCCATGTAATAAGTGGAGAAGAGAAAGAACGATCGAACCAACCTGGAAGACTGCCTTTGTCAAGATATATGCTTAGCATCCTATTATAGAATGTGGAGATGATACATACCTTCGACTACTTCCCGTGGATCCTCCTCACAAACAGAAACATGGTCTTGCGAGGGCTTCTCCCCGTGACTCCCTGATACTATTCGGTAGATTGGAGTCAGCAGGGGAACTTGCTCCTTCGTTCTGACATACCGAGGATAACACTCTTATCTGGCAGCAATCGTCTAACTAGGTCTTCTGAAGTTCGCTGTGATTTTATTCAATTGCTATTCTGAGACGCTTATTGTACAGCTAGTTGACTTACTCTAATGCTCGAATAAGTTTCATATGAGACTTTATAGAACCGGCGGGCATCCGTGCGGACGAAAAGGTTAACAAAGAACTTGCGGAAGGTTTTCTTCTGCTCCAAAAGTTGGTCTCTGATTCGTTTCGCTCTGCATAGGTCAATGAGTGAGGCCTTTTGGCTAGATGAAAAGGCATACTCATCGTATTGACGTTGGCCAGTGGTATAAGCTCGATCGTAGATAGCTTTCTCAGTTGGTGAGAGGCGATCGTTTTCCAACAGGTCAGCTAGCTCTCGCAGGGCTGACAGCGATAATTGTAGATAGTGTTCTCCCTTTTCGTGATTTGTTCGGCCCTTAAGCTCGGTAACGGTCATGGACGAGTTCGCAAATTGGCCTGCGGGACCCAGGGAAGTAGTAATACGAAATGTCGTTGTTGAAGATTTGGGGGGATCCATTAGTGAGAACAAAAATGATGGGAAGTGGAATAATGCGCCGCGCCTTGAGCTGCCTTGGTTAAATACAAAGATAGTAAAGTCCAGATATGCGGGGGGGGAAATAACAAGGCAGAAAGGTTATGGGAACATGGCAATGGCAGCTGCCGATGATAGACGAAAATGTCTATTTGGCGCTTGAGCTGCCTATAGTACTACTAGTAGTAGCTGAGCCTACAATGTCGACCCCCAAAAATCATGTACATCATACTGATCCTTAGACTCGAAGTAATGAGTGCAATAGAGGGAACGATGGCGAAGCTAGTGGAATATCTTCATCGTTGGGATGAAAATTTCCTATCAGGGTAGATGCGAATTTTTGACTCGGAGTGCTGCCAGATCAAGCGATACTAAATTGTTGCTTTGTACGACCCAGGTCACGATGGGACGTAAGTTCGCTATTGTGAAGTCCGCGATGTGCCGGGGTCCGAATTACCGGGTTGCTTGTGGATACATATTTGTTCTTTTGCTTTGACTTTACTTACATCACAGCTCAAACCGTTTCCTGAGGATGGCCTCCACCTCTGCTGCCCATTCACATCTTGCCGAATTCGAGATTTGGTGGAGGGACCACTATAACTTCCTCGAAGGAAAAGGTTACAAGCTACGAAGTCGCTACAGTCCGGATTGGGTGCCGTCTTGGACGAACACGAACAAAATTGATATAAATTGCGAGGATGGAATTTCGTCACCAGTAGGTGCTTCGTTAATAGCAGTATTACTCAACTACCATGCATCCTCCAGCACTATCTTCTACTGGATGCAAGGCGCACTCGAGATGGCGCTCGCGTATTACTTAAATGTATTGACGTGTCGCGACACCCATACGAGATAGAGATCGGCCGCTATTTTTGCAGCTCACCTCTCGGTGAAGACCCAGCCAACCATTGTGTACCAATTTACGACGTTCTGGAGGTCCCTGATACCGAAAATCTTATGATCCTGGTTATGCCGTTACTTCGAAATGCTACGGATCCTTATTTTGACACAGTCGGCGAAGTTGTAGACTGCATCCACCAGCTTTTCGAGGTAAGGTCTTCATTTACCGACTTGCACTTTTTATAACTATTTCTCTTTCACTTGAAGGGACTGCGCTTCATGCACAGGCACCACGTTGCTCACAGGTATGTATTCCAGCTGATCGAATGCCTTGTCTCATGACCTAAATAAAGGGACTGTATGCAGCTGAATATACTGATGGACGGCAGTATGTTCATCGATGCTTGGCATCCAAGCGAACAATACATGTCGGAGGACCTCAAACGTGCAGCCAGGCACCGTACGCGCACGCAGTCTCCGCCACGATACTACTACATAGACTTTGGCATTTCCCGCAAGTACGAAGAGTCCAACACCAACCCATTAGAAGTCCCTATCTTCGGTGGAGATAAAGACGTGCCTGAGTTCAAGGAAGACAATTTCAAGCCTCGAAACCCTTTTCCAACTGATGTTTGGTATCTCGGACATGCTATTCAAGAGACATTTCTCGATGTAAAGTGGAATAGTGACTTCTCATTTTACACGTTCTGATTTGGAGCAAAACAGCGCTACTCGGGTGTGGAGTTCCTGAGCGGTCTAGTATCGGACATGATGCACTCCGATCCAGCACAACGTCCAGACATGGACGAAGTTTTTTCTCGATTCCAGATTCTACGCCAGGGCTTCAGTAATTGGAAATTGCGTTCCCGGGTGGCTCATGAGGATGATAGCTCTCTTTTTGATTTTCTAGCCCACTGGGCCCGTCGCATTCAATACATTGTACGCAGGATATCTCCGACGCATACCTCTCTGTCATAGAGTGGATTCATTTGTAACCACTCTCCTACAATGCACGAGTTTACTGCCCTTAATTCCTCGCATCGATAGAGTAGGGTGTCGCGCCGACTTCACACCGCACCCTTAACTGTACAGCGCCAGATGCAAACGTCCCTTACCGACGTTGTCTGGAACTTTAGGATTAAAGTCATCTTACCATCGACGACGTCAGGTGACTCGCAAAAATCAGGAAATGCAACAGCCTCCCGAAAAGAAGCAACTACTAAGTCTGACGACGGGACCGCCTCAGCTCCGACAATCATATAATCATAATGTCCCTTCACTCATTATTTTGCTGAGGGGTGCTGACAACATTGAAATCCAAGATATCCGACTCAAGCCCACGTGTGCAATAATATATGCGCACATCTCGTGCATAGTATAGATGTGGATTCGTTATCTGCTCGGGCTTCCTACTAACCAACGAAGTCCTTGCCCAATTATCTTCACAGCTAGTCTTCCTTCAATGCTACTTCGAGTGTACTGTTATGTACCGTATTTTGATCATACCGTCACGGTGTATCTTTGATGACGATAATATTATATTCACAACTACTGCATCTGTTGCTCGAGTTGAGGCCCAGTGAAAACTGACTATGACGAGAGGAGTCGTGGTGTGACGATAAGTGATTTTGTCAGCAGCTCAATAGAAAAACATATGAGAACATGATAAGACACGTACACTGGGGGAAAAAAGAGATTATACGAAATGAGAATGTGGCGCAAACCTCGAGATTCGCACCAAATGTTTGTGACATTCTAATCAGGTTACGAAGAAATGAAAATGCGAAGAGAATGATCACATTATTACTATATTTTTATCGTATTCTGATCATGTTCTGGAGGACATTCTCATTTGTTATAATCTCAAAGGTCCGTTTGACCACAGCGGGTGCATGCACATATACTAGTACTAGCTTTATTGCAGACCATATTATAGCGCTAGCTGCGCACACTAACTCGCAAAGTGAATGTCATTGATAGATCTACTTATGTACACATGCCCGACGCGCCGTAAAAGTCCCAAGGTCATGGTTACTATTACTTATGCGGCAACTACTTAGTACTACTACGTAGCTAACACCCATAATCGACAATGTCGATGTTAACATTGTGGTATGAAGACAAGGAGGGACACATAGTAGGGTAGAGTTTTTAACAATTTGAATTCTGCATTCAAGTCCAGCATATAAGAATATGGTGAGAATGGCACGAGGATATGAGAATATGTACCATATTGTCATTTCGCGGTTATGTAGTTAAAATACAGTGATAATCTAAGTAGAATCTAAAGTTCGTATGACATTTCCACCGGTCCATAATCTCTTTTTTTCCCCAGTGGTAGTGAGCGATGTTGAGAGCCAATGTGTCTGAGGGAAGTAAGGCCGAGAGAGAGAGAGCCGAGAGGGAAAAGGACGATACGGCCGAAGAATAGAGCACATCAAGTGCGAGCGTCTCCAAACGGAGAACGTCGACGACGTGTCAACGTCGGCTATCTTTTCAATCTTTAAGTATATTATCTTCATCAAAGCTCCTGCTGGCAGACTCACTGTATAAGAGGAGGCAGCAGTTGTCAAAACGTCTCAGATTCGAAACGAATACTGAGACGTAAGTACAAGTCCCACTGTAACGTTTGAGCGCAAGCGCTGACGTACATGTAGTCATACCTTTGTTCTAGGTACAAACAATTGTTAATGGAGATTCAAAACGAATACTGAGACTTGTACCTTTGTTCTAGCGTGTCGTAAAACCTCCCATGTGTATCATTCCTCCACAAGCGAATCCACATATTTCAATATATGTGGGGGCAGGTTTCCTCATGCACATAGGTGCTTTTTTCAATGTAAAACATATTTGCGCATTTGAACGCATATACTCATTCCCCTTGCCAGATGGTTGAAAATGTGCGCAAATATGCTCGAATAATATTAGGCACTGTAGCAATGGTGGTACAAAAGTGATACCAAAAAGCTCAAAAACACATAGCAGCTTGAAAACATGACACACGCGGACAACAGCTCGAAAGCACTTGAAAATATTGTAGGAAATGTGTATGTTGGATCATGCTGAATCTAATAGAGACATCCTTCGGAGACAGATTTAGTCCATGTATCAGAAGCAACCTAGTAGATAGTGTTGTTCCGGCCCGGCTTGGCTCGAAAGCCGTGGCTTTGGCCTGGCCTTGCAAGGCTCTGGCCCGTAGAATATTCAGGCCAGGCCAAAGCCATGATTGACGGCTGGCTTCAGCCTGGCTTCGGCTCGAGCCATGGCCTGAGTACATGAAATGTGAAATATTGGTGCAAGAAATATACTACAAACATATGTACTAGGTTTCGATGTCAGTACTATTGGATTCCAAATCTGAGTCACCATCATCATCAAGCAATAGACCATCCCAGCCCTCATCTTCAGCCTTCTCCACGTCTTCACTCTTCTCCCCCAATCCACCCTCAATTTCGAACTCGTCAACTTGAAGTTCCTCCTCCACAACAGATGATGGCCCTGGTTCGCGGAACAGAAGATCATGGCGGATAGCACATTTGACACATTGAAGGGCCTCGACGACATCCCCTTTGAGCTGGTTGCATCGTTTGCTGATAGTTATTCCACCTTGAGAAAATGCACGCTCGCTGGAAACAGATGATGCCATAATAGATAGATAGTCACGCGCAATTGAGGACCACACTGGCCCGTATCTTTGACCGTTAATCTTGTTCGAAGGTGAGGAATATGAAACAAATAGTAAAAAAATGAACGTACACCCCACCATTGGATCGTGCTCATGCCAGGCAAAGGTGGTGCCTCGAATGTGTCGATATAGTTCATGAAATCGGCCTGCCATGGTTTAGCCCAAGTTGACGGCGCTATTGTTGGAACGTCTTCGTCTTCATCCGAGCTTTGCGTTTCGCGAATGAGTTTCTTGAGACAACTTGCTTTTCCTTGTTTGACGCGAGATTCTTGCGCTGATGCAGTTGTACCCATTTCGAGGTAGCGAGCTTCAAACTTTTAAATCTGTCAGATATGAAAAGATATATGAAGCATCATTTGACCTACCACTCGTTCCGCACAGGCAAGGACATCTTCCTGAAGATCTTCGGGCCAGTTTTTCTTGAAGTAAGCCATTTTCTGCATTTCCGATGCTTCTTGACCTTCCCGTTTGCTCCTGTCTGCTCGAATGCTGGTCCGAAAAACTGTTCAATATCAGCTGTTCTACCTTCACATGTCGATGATGCATCAACAATCAATTGGACGTCAACATCGATGGGGATACCATCTTTGTCAACATCTTTGTCAATGTCCGCTTCCTCGATGTGTTTCTTTTTTGCTGATGCTTTAAATTAATAAGAATGTTCAGTTAGAAGTAGGTTGTAGCACTCACACTTCGGATTAATATATGCACTTTCCCGCATCTCCACGTCATAGTCGTCCTCATTGTCCTCAAAAATCTCCTCTAAGTCAACACGAACTCTTTTCGTCTGGTTGGGGACATGTGAAGTTGGTGGTGTAGCGGCAGTCTTAGATGTGGTGGAAGTTGGTTGCTGTGAAGGGCCTGCCACAGATGACAGTTCGGTACCTTCTGCTTGTTTGGTGCATCGCGCAGCTTCAGCAATACAAAAGTCGTTGACAGCCTTTTTCTGGAAGGAAAGAGTTGCCGGTTCTGCTGAATGAAGGAGTGCTGCAGTAGGTTTGGTTTTGCGGACTGGACATACAGCAACACGAGTTTCGCCCTCGTCATCTGAGATAATAGTGGGTGGCATAGGGTCAGTTCAACAAGGGGAAGACGACTCGGAGTATCTCACCTCATATTATATTGCTGGTCTTTTTGTGGCTAGTTCAGTCATTTTGGATGATCAGATGCCTGATATTGCAGAGAGCACAGAGACATACCATGTTCCTGGAAGTATATTCGAAACATTGATGAGTTTGAGGCACCTAAGCGCACATGTTGGGAGCAAGATCGAAGCCGGGAGAACATTGTGCCGGATGCTGGAACCAATTTTGGCTTGAATACGCATTCTATTTTTTTGGTAAACATCTTACCAAAAAGTGTGCAAAGCCGTGGCCCAAGCCGGTGGCCCCTGGCTTTTCAGAACCATAGGCCAGGCCAAAGTCGTGGCCTGACCAAAGCTTTGGCCTGGCTTCGGCTGGCCCACGGCCTGAGGCCAGGCCGTGCACGTCACTACTAGTAGATGAGACTTACCTTACACACCACATTATGGCAGAATGATATATCCAAGTGGCTAATGATCCATAAATTATGATACATAATCTACTATAGTTATCCACAAATCTAAGATACATCCTGTCTGGTTATTCATTGCCATGCACCTGATATGCACTGCCGCAATTTTTGGCATTTTTGAAACTCAGCTGTTTGTCATTCCAGACATTTGGTCATCTCCTCATATCAGGGCCTTCCCCACACCGCATTTTTGGCCACCTACCGTGGGAATTACCCCACAACACCAAAAACATCGCCCATTTTTGGAAATCTCCACAATATCAATTGTTCTCACACCCTCCCCACCTCACTGCAGCTTCACCACTACACCACAATAGGTCTTCCCTTGTATCTAAGTAGTAGTTTGGCACATATATGTATAATATAATATAATAGACCACTTTTTTGTTTGTTTGTGTGACTGCTCCTCCTCCAGGGGCAATTAAACATAGGGTAAGATACAAAACACTTTCGCATTTTTGCCCCTTTGATGGGGAAGTGTTATATAATATTCAGAACATGTTTATGAGTATATATGGAGACATTCCCATCTTTATTTGACCCCCTGAGGCGTCCTACATCAATAGATATAGCATATATATAGGAAAACACAAAATATGTTCCCATTTGATTATTTTTAGATGGATGGACTTGGAAAAATTATCTCCAGCATCTATTCAACAGTAGGAACAATGTATCAGGAGCCCAGGACCATAGGATAATTCCCTGTTGCATGGTGTCCCCCCCTCTCCTGGTGGTTTACCCCCTGTGAAATTTTTTCCTGTAGGATCGGACCTCAATTGAGGTAGGGGGTCTATTCTTATGTATATTTGGAGTATATTTATCATATAGCTGGCCCAGGACACACATAGGATCTTGCTACAGAAACAAAAACATAGAAAAACATATTTTTGACATTTTTGATGTTTTTCAGTAGCTTGCTCTTGCATATATAATCCAGCCTATTCATGTATCATTATAATAGCATATATACTTGCTTTTTGTGACAAGGATCAGCCCTATATAGGGCGCAAATTTGAGATCTGGTGTACAAATGATATTGCTACTGATAAGGAGGCCATATTGTCAAAACATCGAAATTTAATAATCAGACACTTGGAGTAGATTTAAAATATATTCAGTATCATATGGCTAAATTTACAAACCAATCCAACCAAAATTGAGTGCTGAGGAAGTGAAATAGATAAGAAATTGATTGTGGGAAAGTTCAAAGACCCAAAACATCGAAAATGGTCAGTTGGGTAGTGGTAGGACTTTAATGCTAGGTCAACTCAGATATACACCACACCCCTTCCACCACCCTCCAACCTCAGGGCAGTATGTAGTATAGGTTTCTTTAGTAGTCTACCATGTATCCTATATATTTCAATGAAATATTTGACTTGTACTATATATAAATATGACTTTGTGTCAAAAGATGTCAATTGTCACTTTTCACACATATGTCATTTTCCTTGTCATTCAGTCAGTCCTTCATGGATCTTTCTAAAACTTCATATTCATCATTAGGGACATATACAAGAGGTATTCCAGGTCTCAGATCACTTATCATAGGTTTGATTACTATATGGGCTTCTTATCAGTAGAAATACCTTCTATACATCAGATCTCAAATTTGCGCCCTATATAGGGCTGATCCTTGTCACAAAAAGCAAGTATATATGCTATTATAATGATACATGAATAGGCTGGATTATATATGCAAGAGCAAGCTACTGAAAAACATCAAAAATGTCAAAAATATGTTTTTCTATGTTTTTGTTTCTGTAGCAAGATCCTATGTGTGTCCTGGGCCAGCTATATGATAAATATACTCCAAATATACATAAGAATAGACCCCCTACCTCAATTGAGGTCCGATCCTACAGGAAAAAATTTCACAGGGGGTAAACCACCAGGAGAGGGGGGGACACCATGCAACAGGGAATTATCCTATGGTCCTGGGCTCCTGATACATTGTTCCTACTGTTGAATAGATGCTGGAGATAATTTTTCCAAGTCCATCCATCTAAAAATAATCAAATGGGAACATATTTTGTGTTTTCCTATATATATGCTATATCTATTGATGTAGGACGCCTCAGGGGGTCAAATAAAGATGGGAATGTCTCCATATATACTCATAAACATGTTCTGAATATTATATAACACTTCCCCATCAAAGGGGCAAAAATGCGAAAGTGTTTTGTATCTTACCCTATGTTTAATTGCCCCTGGAGGAGGAGCAGTCACACAAACAAACAAAAAAGTGGTCTATTATATTATATTATACATATATGTGCCAAACTACTACTTAGATACAAGGGAAGACCTATTGTGGTGTAGTGGTGAAGCTGCAGTGAGGTGGGGAGGGTGTGAGAACAATTGATATTGTGGAGATTTCCAAAAATGGGCGATGTTTTTGGTGTTGTGGGGTAATTCCCACGGTAGGTGGCCAAAAATGCGGTGTGGGGAAGGCCCTGATATGAGGAGGTAACCAAAATAGAATGTATTTCTGGGTGCTAGTGATTTGTAAGCTGGCAAGCTTCCATGAATGATTCTCCTTAGTGATACATCCAACTGGACAGTGGATAATTACACAGGATTATGTATATGACTTTATGGATAGTAGTCCAGTTTTAATGTATGAAATCAACAGTATGGGCTGCCTTACGGGTCTAGACTCTACAGTGAGATTCACTAGTAGAGTTGGCTGTCGCAAACTGCTTGCACCTCCATCAGGGAACTGACATGAAAAAGATAAAAATTGACAAAGCATTATCTAAAGTAAAATGTGTATAAAATATGTCATCATTGTACTCCAAATGAGAAAACTTTAGATACCTGGACTAAGTTGGATAGAACCTACCAAATGCATATTGGTGGCAGTCTTGCTGCAACCACTTGCCAGCTTATCATCATAATGGGACAGGTTGCAATACCTACCAGCTGTGACAAGGGAATATTGAGCCATTAAAAGCCACCATCAGTCATCAAGTTGTGTATTAGTTGTAATGCACTACAATGTTGCCTGCCCTAGGTAACCTTTGATGGTTTTTTCTTCCTCCACAATTTCCAGATGAATGTCTAAGTTAGATCAAGCTTTATATGGCTGGACTGTGTTGGATCAAAGCTGCCAATATCCCAAGGATATCATGTGATTATTATGCAGTGTCTTGTTATCTCGATGTGATTGTGATGCCAGACCGTACCATGTGCACCATGTGGGTAACAAATGACAGTCTACTGTGATCCTTCCCAAAGTTTGAAAGTTACGATCATAAGATGTAAGGCAAGCAAGATATTCTATTCCTGGCAAACTATGAATAAATGCCAGCACTGGACACAGTCTTTGAAGACTAGGCTGTTTTTGATTGAGCTACCTTTGGTCCAAGGATGTAGAGCCATGACAACATGGTGCCATTCTCCAGCTGTTTGCCAAGGCTTGGTCATTAGATATAAGGTGAGTGAGATATTTTATTCCTCATAAAATCTGAATAAATGCTGGCACTAGATACAGTCTTTGAAGACTAGGCTGTTTTTGATCAAGCTGCCTTTGATTCAAGGATGCGGAGTGATGATAACATCATGTCATCCTCCAGCTAGTAGCCGAGGCTTGGTCACCACCTTCCATCTCAGCTACTCGATGATCCCAGCTCAAGCAGAGTTCAGTCATCTTGCAGGGAATGCTCACATGGATCAGTATTACATAGGAGATCATTATGCTATATCCTGAGAACATATTATTATTTGACTACAGGGTTTCAAGTATTTTGTCATTCTAGATTTTCTGGAGGCCAGTGTTGTAATCACTTCAACATACTAGTAACTTGGTTCCAATAGTCACAAGATGCTAGTATTAGATGATATTTGTATTTACTACATGAGGACATATGGACTACGAAGAGACTGTGTTCGAAACTGCCGCCTGTTTGGTCGCAAGGCGCTTAAGTCGTATTTTCGATAAGGCGCTGTTGGCACTAACTGATCGTTTGGCAGCAGAGGAAGTAGGGAAGACCTGACTGTATACATAGCAATATATGAGTTTCAGCGAAATGATAAAGAATGACAACAATACCGATTCCACCATGTCAGCAGCTCCTCGACCTCCTTCGATTCATCGGGGTCCTCAAAAAGGTCAAGGAGGCTATGGTAAAAGGTCTCTGAGTCAGTAGTAGTGTCGGTCCACGAGAACACTGAGGAGGAGCTTATGGCGAATCGAACCTTCAGTTGTACGTATATCAAAATGCTTAGCTATGAATATATGGAATCGACAAACCTGAGTTGCAACATATGCAATAGAAGCGATGGTGACAGAATTCATCCCATGGAGACGAGCATTTCCGGACCGTGTGGCTTTTGGTTCTTTGTCGACTGAACTCAGGGACATAAAGACGTGCTTGTAAGCCTGATGTCAATAAATATAGCGAAGAACTATGGAGAAATGTATTCCCACTTACACATACCACCAAGCGGCTCCTAAGAAGCCCACACCACGGGTCTTCTGTATCATATGTATAGTGGGCAAACAAAAAAATAGGCCATTGATCTCTGCACACCGACAATTCGCCGCTCTGAAGGTTCTCTCTCGTTCTGTTTAGAGTTTTCAGGACTGCAGACACCGGAAAACAAGAACGAGAACATACTCTGTATTGTTCCAGTCCAACCCAGCAGGACAAAGCAGTGATCTGGTAAGCTCATGGTTGAATCCACTGTAGAGACTTGTGCGTCTCAATGCCGAGTATCCGGCCTTTATCCATACATTCCTATATGATCCAGCTCTAATCCAAAGGACCAGTCTCGTGCGCACTAGTGTGTGCCCTATTTACGCTTGCGCGCACTTAAGCATGCCTTACCTGCGCTCACGCTATGCGCACTTTGCGCGTGCATTCGTGCACCTCCTCCTAGGTCTTCGCACTATCGTCTGTCCATTCGTCCCATGTCCTTACTGATTTGCTGGTGCGTTATTCCTATCTCCTTCATTGAACTAACAAATCTTCGGTCCGAAATCCGCGCTACATATAGAAAGTCTATTTAAACTTAGTTATAATTAGAGTTGATATGGTTACTCAGTTCGGGAGCGTGCTCGGAAGCATGCCGCATAGTGTAATCTCCATTCTTAAATAGAGAAGGGAATCTTTGGGGTTCTGGTACTTACTTTCCCCTTATCTTTGTGTACTGGAAAGTGTATAGATCACCTCCTCACTTGATATCAGATCTGATTCTCCTGTCAACCATCCATCTGTGCTTCCACTCTTCAAATAGGGCCTTTCCCTTAACGTTCTAGGCACGCCTTTGCTTCGTGCGCGCGCATTCTCGAACCTCCCGCTCATGCGTGCATCTTGCGCGCCTTCGCCTCGCGTACGCGCGCATTACCTTCTCGCGCTTGCTAGCGCCCGCCTAGCTCATACAGTCTCCCTCCATTTTTATTTCAAGGAACTTCTCTCAGTGGTTGTCCTTTGGGTCGAGTCGTTGTCTCGTATCCTGGTCTTGCTGTAGAGCACCCATTTGTTTTAAGTGTTTTCGCCTATAGTCAAGATTCCTCTTCTCACATCGGGGTTATCAATATTTAGGATAGGTTTACATGTTGTATGAAACGTGAAGAAAATATTTGGAGTTTGAACTGACATAAAGATGGGCATATAACTTCAAATTTAGTCAGTGTTATATGCGAAATCCAAAATATAAAATATCCGCCGCCATTTTTTCACCAACTGTACATCAACACAAATAAGAAATATAGTCAGCTTCTTAGCGTCTGCTTGAATTTTAAATTTAATTATCACAAAAAACTTTGGATGAAACTTGAAGTTTAATCTGCAGCTATATGTTTGACAATATTTCAAGTTTCATCCAACAATTAGATGCTACCAAAAATCTGAAGTTTATGCCAGTGACAAAATCTGATGACAAAACTTCAAGTTTCGCACTTGGACAAAATAAATCGCCCGATCATTGCCCGCTCATCACCCGCCCATCGCCCGTAAAAATGAATGTCACAGTGTTACTCGAAAATAAGAGATCCATTCCCTAATAGAGGCACTTTAAGGCACTTTTCCTTGAACTAAAGCAGATAAGGATATCAAAAAATACTATTATTTCCAGACATAGACTAAGTATACATGAGGTCAAGTCATTCTACCGAAAATCTCCAAAAAATGATTCAAAAAACGTGTCTGAAAACAAGCGACGATAGCGGGAGCTAGAACAACTTGAATGAGGACCGGCACACTCACATCCTGCGAACGGTGGATGACGACTTGGATCAGCATGGCTGTTGCTTGAACGAGGACTGACACACTCACCAACTGCGAATGGTGGTCGATGGCTTGGATCAGCATGGCTCTTGCTCAAATGAGGACCGACACCCTCACCAACTGCGAACGGTGGGCGACGACTTGGATCAGCATGGCTCTTGCTCGAAGGAGGACCGCATCCTGCGAACGGTGGGCGACGACTTGGATCAGCATGGCTCTTGCTTGAATGAGGACTGACACACTCACCAACTACGAACGGTGGGCGACGATTTGGATCAGCGTGACTGCTTCGTCTGTGGGACTTGAAGCTTGAAGACAGGTGTTGTGTTGAAGAAGATGGAACTAGTTTAATTTAAATAGAAGATTGGAAAAGTGCGCACTTCAATATGACAATTTAAATAAGGAAACATTAGGTAGTCTCAGGCAGAGAGATTTCGAGCGCACCGTGAACAAACATATACAAATATTGGACTTTGAGGTTCTGCCTTGACTGCCTTGAAATATTTTCCTTAGCCGCTTAAGTAATCTAAAGAAAGCCTTACTTAAGAATTCTGGGCGGGCGATAAATGGGCGATGAGCGGGCGATTCATTTTGTCTGCAGACGAAACTTCAAGTTTAGTCATCACATTTTGTCGTCGCCTTAAACTTCAAATTTGGAAGGGTGTCTAATTGTGGGACAAAATTTAAAACATTGACAAACATGTAGTGACGGACTAAACTTGAAGTTTAGTCCAATGTTTCATGTGATGATTAAACTTCAAATTCATGCAGACGCTGAAAATCTGATTATATTTCATATTTTAATTAACATATAATTAGTGGGAAAATGGTTGCGGATGCTTTATATTTTGGATTTCACACAAAACACTGACAAAATTTGAAGTTATGTGCCCATCTTTATGTCAGTTCAAACTCCAAATATTTTCTTCACATTTCGTACAACATGTAAACCTATCCTAAATATTGATAACCCCGATGTGTCTACACCGCTGTCTTGTTACTTAAGGGTCTTATATGAAAGTTGTGTATAATGACAACACAATTATATACGGTGAAGACTTCTTGCCAGTCCTTAAGTCCACGGTCTCCGACTTTTCTACTTCGTGGGAGGTAACGTGGTGAGTTCTTGGGAGGATTTAGTTTGTTGTCCTCTTCTTGTGTAGTCTTATACAAAGTTGTTGTGGAATGTTCTGTGTTCTGGATAAATTCGTTAGGTTTGTTTCAGCCTAGTAGGTCGTGTTTCAACCTATGAAAGTCTGTTTCAACTTTGTCGTCCTTAGATGTGTCTCACTTTCCGTTGAAAGAGAGAGTCTTATGAATACACGTAAAGCTTAGAATGAGAGCTGTTCAATGGTTATATAGTCAACCCCTGTAAGGTAGTATATAACCTAGAGTAGAATAATGATAACGAAAGTTATCTAGTTAACCCCTGTAAGGTAGTATATAACTTTAGAGTAGATAATGATATCTTAGATTACCTCAAGGCACTTATGTTGGCCTGCACTTTAAGTCTTAGTGGTCTCACATGGTTTGAGATAAGAGTCAAGTGGGAGGATTGTATTTCATGGGTGAAAATGGGGTCCTTTTATACCTTTTTGGGAACCCCCTTACTAAGCATGATTAATCAGATGGATTGGTAAGAATGTGGCTTACAAACCAGGTGATGAATCAGCTTATTACTAAGTACATTACAAATACAGTGTAATCTTACAAAGAAATTACAAACCATGACAAACCATGAGTGAACATGTTGAGTCATGTTAAATGTTGTTACAAAGCATGACCAATCATGGCTAAACATGTTGAGTCAGCTTAAATAATGTTACAAACCAGATTATTTCCCAGTCACATGATGTGATGACAAATAAAATCTGGTGGCTGAAAGAAGCCAAATAAAAATAAACAGCCAGAAATAAATAGAGATACAAAACTTGGTGGCTGAAAGAAGCCAAATAACAATAAACAATGAGAAATAAACAGAAGGTCACATGCTTGATACAAATACAAGTTAAAAATAAGTCTGAAAAGTGAGAAATAAAATACAAGACAATGAATCAAAGGACAAATGGAGAAGTACATAACTCAGTGACAGAAGGCTAGACAGTCTCTCATATCTTCCTTATCACTCTCTATATATCAGATATCTGACATGGTATGAATCACATACCATGCATGACACCACGATCAATCTTTGAGTTCCTGTGCAAAGGGGGCTGGATTGCTGCCCCTTGTGGGGAAATCCAATCAAGAATGGCAGACTTCAGGGTTTTTGTGTCATCACCTCTCGTGCCTGCGGCTCCTTTACCAATCTGTGACTCATCAGTGTGAACTCTGGCCAAGCAAAAAACAATGCACTAGCTCTCCAACGTGGAGAATTTCTTCTTCAGACCTGTTTTGCAGGCGCTCTAAAAGGCCAGGATAAGAATCTAAAAGCTGTTCAAAGACGCAATGTTCGCGTTGTTCTCTGCCAAACACATTAGTTAACAGACTAGTAAATAAGGATGATTTTTTCACTCAGCAGAGAAGTTCTCCAGAGTATCTTCCATTTGTTCTAATCTAAGGATAGTGTTGGTGAGTAGAGAGTGTTACAAGTAACATCGGCTACATGGCCCCCCTATCATTTTTCCCCTTCGTCCTCGCCCTCATATGCCTCCGGCTCGTACTTCTCTACCGACTATCCGTTGACCGGATCCTCGGGACCGTTCCCGTCCCTCATCCCCCTCCTATCGCACCAACGTGCGCACGTGCCTTCGGGCTATGACTCGTTCTGACTCGTGCCACCAATGTGGCTTTCCTTATCTTGTCTTATCTTTCCTTTGACTCGTGCATGATGCACATTGTATCATTTACCGTTGGTTCGTTCCAACGTTTCTCGGTCTCATTCCGCATTCGACCTTACATCACTAATCAGGCTCTGCTACCAGCGTACCTATACCCTTTCCGTTTCCCCTTTGCCCTTACCTACAGTACGGTAGCCTTGCCCTTAACCCTTTCCACTTAGTATAAGTAGTCGGTCACTCTGTACTAGATTCCCTAACTTGAATCTACTCAATCTTCCCTCGAACATACTTCCCTCTGAAGCCCCCTCAGCTTCAGTCTCTAGTATCTTTTCTTAGGTGCTCATCGCGCCTAAGTCTACCTCGATCGACCACCTCATCGTTCGGACAAGACTGTCCTTACTTTGAGAACGTCAGTGACTTTGAAGACATCCATCTTAGAAGTCACGTGACACGCGCGTCTCTGATATCTGCCGACTCGACGTCGCCAGTCTCAGTCGCTACACCGGACCCTTCCGGTTACATCACGAACATTAGCAGACGACGCCCCTCTTAGGGCTCCGCATAACAGATCTATTTGAGTGCGTAACAAAAGATTCAAGTTACCCTTTTTTGCGCCCTGCCATCCGCACGGCCATTAACCGACAGACACCACGACTACCTGGAT